TACTTACCTGGAATTGTATTTTAGGATATTTTAAGTCTTTATTTGTTATAGAAAAAAAGGGATGTAATATATAATGTATGTAACAATCTGTATATATAATATTAGGTAGGTACACACTGTATGTTAAAGGTGTGCTCTTTTTATGTAGGTATAAACATTATTAATAAAGTTTTAGTTTAAAGCCAACAGTCGTTTCACTAACATACATTACAAAGAGTATAATATTTTTGCGTATAAGTAATATAACCATAAAAATGTTGGTTATTTAATGTAAATGAATATTTTTTGTGTATTCTCTTAAAATAGTAATTTATTTATAAGAAACATAGAACTGCTATTAAAATAGAAATTTATTTAAAACATATATAACTGTTATTAAAATAAAAATACAACGGTAAGCTACATCAAAGTTTAGTTTTCGGGGCGCATTAACATCTTGTTTTCTTACAGCTATTATTTCCCAGTTTTTTGTAATTAGAAAACAATACGTTACACATGACGCTAGTTATTTTTGCAAGTGTGTCGGATAACAGCTTATTACATATGCAAGTATCTTAAAACTGTTTTTATAAAAAATATTGTAGGTAATTTATTATATAGTATTTTGGCATCAAAATTATTTAATATATTCTTCTTTTATTAGGCTATAAAAGAAACATAAGCAATATAGCAATAGGTAGACATAATTTTAATAATTGACCGTTGGGGACGGGACAAGGGAATTTTTTTCTGCTGAATAAAAAAGGGGCCGGCTCTCACTATCGAAAATTCATATGAAACTGTCTTGCATTACCGCGATAATATAATTATTTTCCTGTTGCCTCTTTGGAACGCAACATTTTCTTTGTATTTTTTATTTATTTATAGTGTTATAAAAGCAGCAAACTAATGCAATATTTAAATCAACGTTAAATCGAGCGATATCAATAGTAAAGCAATGGATAATTTATATTAAACTGTCTTGTATTACCGCGATTATGACATTATTACATTAATTTGCTATTGCAGTCGGCCTCCTGACGTCACGCCTCCCACTACCACACTCCCGCCTGGGATAGAGAACGCCGTGGTAGTTGCCGTGCGAATACACGAATTATAGTAATATTATCAAAGAAAATAGAGAAATGTCTGGACATAGTGCGTTTTTATTAAACTTAATATTGAAGAAAGTGTTATATGGATAATAAATGCTTTCAGTCCTTGATAACATTTAGGGCTGTAGTTTAAGCGTTGGTGTTTTAAATTAAACTTATAGTCACTGTCCAGAAAATGTTTATAGGAAACAGAAGCGGTCTTAACGTAAATATTGTCTATTATTTTTTGTGGCATTTAAACACTGTTTCCACAAATCAAACTTTTCGGGAATCGATTAAATTTAATGTTTTTATTCAAAGGGTTTTTCTTGGACTGGTTGTCCGAATTGCATCCAAATATGCCACACCGCATTTTAATAAATGCAAATGGCACTATACAATCTAAAACACAAACAAAACAAGTTAACGCAACACAAAAACAATAATAAACAAACCTAACAGGTTAACCTAACGCAATAACAATAATTTGAACGCTGAAAAGTAATTCGAACCTTACCGAACACAAAAACGACAATTTAAACAAAAAGTAGAGCAAGTTAACACCCAAAAGCATCGCAAAAACAAGAATTTTAGCAGTAGATAATTAAAAAGCACGTTAAAGATTTAAAAACACTCATCAAGTGACGTCATTAAGCCCCGCCCAACATGCGCACCATCCTATCTTAAGGTGTATGTATCTTGCGCGATGGGTATGCGTTGTCGTAGCCTGCCGGCTCTGGCCAATCAAATTCTATTTGGAGTTCTATCCTTGTTCTTTTCACGCGGGTATTGAACAGCCGTCCTTTCCAGTGCGGTCGGACTTGGATTTGCAAGCACTGTATGTATATTATATATTAATTAATTAATTAGTTAACCTTAAGGTTATAATTGTAATGTATAACCTATAAATAAGGAGCAATCAACCAAAACCAGATAAATCCATTTTGACTTCTTGAATGATTCATATTTCTTTTAGTCGGATAAATCAATTGGAAAAGTGAATTTCAAGATAAACTTATTATAATAATATATATATTATATACTAATATTAATATTAGTATATAATATTAATATTATGATCATATCATATTATGATAACAAGTTTAGCTTGAAATAGATATTTCCAATGGATTTATCTGAACAAAAGAAATAGGAACCATTCAAAAAGTCGAAATGGATTTATCTGGTTTAGTCTGATTGCTTCTCAATTATGGCCTTTTAAACCAAGTTTTTGTGTATTTTTTTAAGATGTTAAAATAAATATTTCGACGGATTAAATTATTTTGAAAAATGAAATCCATATTCTAAAAGCGCATGCGCAAAAAATAAAAAGTTCACGCGTGATGGCAAATTGAGCATCAATTGAGGACTCATCTGTCGCGTTATATGAATTCACGCGTGAATTTAATTTTCACGCGTGAATTCGTAGTGAATTCATAGTGAATTCATTTGGCTATCTGGGCAGGCCTTCTATATTTAATAGAAGTCTTCTATATTTAACGAAAATATGAAATTATGTTCAATCAATACTATTTTAGTATTTTTATTTTAATTGAATAATATGTTTAGAATGTGTTTATTTTTATTAAATTAGCAATTATATATAATGCAATAAATTATTTGTTTAAATCTTCAATATATTTTTTTATACTTCTATATTTTAGTTAGTTCTTTTATTTAGGGCATTTTGATTTCTGGCAACCCTTGACATGACTGTCTTAAGAATGGCAACTTAAACTAGGTAAAAGTGTTTTAAGATTGTTAACTTGAGCTAACTAGCTATTAGCTTCAGTTGAGAAAGAGAATAGTATATTCTGTAACAAGTTTGGAATACAGCATATTCCGCTCAAGTGAAGAGTTTGACGGTTTCACGAGAGCGGAATATGCAATTTTAAACGTGTTACTTTTTCTACTCCTATTAAGTACGGAATTTGACCGTTCTAATATCACTTTTGTCTATGGAATGACATATATTCCGTAAAGTGCTACAGAATGAAATATTCTATCATCCGATTATAGAATAAACATATACAGTATATGAGAATAAACACTCGTGGCGACATCTCTGTTTTTAATATCTAACAAATTTTAGACCGATCCAACCTCACTTTCTTCCAATTAAATTATTTTTCTATGATATTTTTTGGAAACGTAGAAAAAGTATAGTCTGAAACACGTTTGGAATTGCATATTCCGCTCTCGTGAAACCGTCAAACTCGCCTTCGGCTCATGTGACAAACTCTTCACTCGAGCGGAATATGCTGTATTCCAAACTTGTTACAGAATATACTATTATATTAATATTTGTTCCCCTATTTCTCAATGCCAAAACTCCCACCTTAAAAAAACCTACAAGTAGCTGAAACATCATCACTAAGGAAAATTTCAAAAATCCGACATCCCAACAATCCGCTACATAACCCTCCCAATCCTTTGTTATACCAAAGAACAGGAATAATTCCAATAACGGAGAGAATTCGGATCTTGGCAGCCAAATACAGAGAGATAGAGAAGAGTCAAAAGATATTTTTACGGAATTTTGCATGACAAGATTGGAAAATTCCAGGCCCAGACATCCATCAAAAACAACCATTGAGATAATTCTCAATGATGATATAAACTAGTTACATATGTATAATATACATTGTATATATATATATACATATATATATATATATTTTTTTTTGTATATTTTTTCACAATCAAAATATTTTAGTATAATTATTAATAAGTATTTCAAAAATGTATATTCCGGCTGAAGGACGAAAGTCAATGGCCTTTTGAAAAATATATTTTTTTAAATAAAGAACATTTATTATTATTATTATTATTATTATTATTTCTACGACCTCTATGTAAAAGTTCCATTTCTTACTGGCATCTTTGCTTAGAAAATGAATATTTTCATTGGCAAGGTAAAACACGAATGTAAAGTGACATTTCTGTGTGAAAAGAAATTGACAGCATCGTGACATTCGTTTCAAAATTTGTAGGTATTGTATTTGTATATGTATGTTTAAATATTATTTAGAACACAATTGTGTTTGTATAATAAATTCTATTTTTTAGTGCCTTTATTTAAATTGAGGAGGTAAGTTTATTGTTTTTAAGTAACTTATACCTTAAAAATTAAAAGAATAAGATGAAAGTAATTTTAACAGCTGTCAAACACGTTTTTAGGTTATTTTGTTTTGTATTTGAATATACGCCGTGACTAGGTGCACGTTAGAGTGCCCGCAATTTATTTTTTACGGGCACGCTAGTGACGTAATAGATAAAAAACGTCATCACTGCCGTGCCGCTTAATTTAAAATTGGCGGCACAACAATAATATAATAATAAATTGTACTTGTATACATGTTAAGGGCACGTTAGTTACGTAATAAAACCAAACCAACCCAAACTCAACAACACAACCCAACCGACCCCGCCCCATTGGCCCCCCCCCGCCCCATTGAGCAAAAAACCCAACTAAAATGGGCTAATTTATGTTACGATAAAAATAAAACACTTTTTAACAAAGGAACAACAAATTTATGAAATAAAAAAGTAAAAAAAATTTCGTCAACTTCTGAGAATCGTACCCGGGACCTCTCGCATGCAGAGCAAACACCCTACCATCTACGCTATCTAGCTTGACAACAAAAACTATATGTTCGGGTAACAAAACCGGATTATTATTATGACGTCACTAGCGTGCCCGTAAAAAATAAATTGCGGGCACTCTAACGTGCACCTAGTCACTTTGTTGAATATAATAAAAAATAAAAGAGTCGTAGAAAAAATTGTGTTTTACTTGTACGAAAAGCTTTCTTCAAGCTCGTGTTAATGCACACTCGGCCTGACGGCCTTGTGAGCAACTTAAACACTCGCATGAAAAAGTCGCTTTTCAACACTTGTAAAACAAAAAACTATTATTTTACTTACATTCAAATTGGTTGTTGTGTTTATGGGCCCATACCCACCATTCTACAAAAGCATTTTTGGGCAAACCAGTCACAACGACATAATTAACAATGGCGTTGTTTGTTTTACTCTCCCAAATTTTTCTTGCCGGTTCAACATAAGCTACATCGGTTAAATAACAAATTCCCTAAAGAAACATAACCTTTATTTTGTACAAATCCTAATTTTTTCAATATATTACCTGCACAACGTCTCTTAAATTCACATTATTATCGACAGCCTTCAAAAGCCTACCTATATGTCTTAACGTGAGCTTACACTGCGCTCTTATACCACCCTTAATGAGCTCCAAACTCCCAGGTATCAAGCCAATTTGCCCCGCCAATTTTATAATATCTCCCACTCTTACTGCCTGACTGTAAGGCCCTATATTCGCCGGCGCCCAATGAGACCTACTCTGAACATGCATAGTGCATCTAAAAAATACCGTTCCAATATCGTTTTTTTTACGTTTTTATGGGTACCTTTCAATCGGTGGATCCCCCGAGCCGTTTTGGCTCCAACTTAGCGCTTCGATTTGTAGAGGGCACCGCTTGTCGAATGGTACTTCTACGCATGCGCGCGTCGGCGGGTTGCTATGATTAAAAGTCTCCACGTAATATTTATTCAAGTCTAAATACTGCGACATATCTCCAATGTACATGCAAATCGAGCAAATATCTTTTGTGTTGTGCCCGTATAACTCCAAGACCGCTGGAAGGAAGAAAACATGTATTATAACCTGGAAATATTGTTAAAAAAGTCCAAATTTACAGAAAAAAACTTAAAGTAAACACAAAACTAATATTTACCTACACTTTAAACTATTCATCGCCTCCTGCATCGCTTCAGACGGGTCACTAGATTTACCCTGAATTCCGCCTATCCACAGCCACCCATCAGCGCTCTGAGCGGATATTGGTTTTTGCTCTATGTGCGATTTGGCAACGCTGTGGTTATCAACACCATCTACCGCGTCGTCTTCTTCCTCATCTGAAATAAAAAAAAAGAAACGACCTTTAGGACTACCATTTGGCCTGGAATTACAAAAAATTGTGCATATTGGAGATTTTAAGTAATTTTGATGTGATAAAATAGTATATTCCGTTCGAGTAAAAATTTTGTCACACGAGCCAAAGGCGAGTTTGACGGTGTCATGAGAGCGGAATATGCAATTCCAAACGTGTTTTAGACTATACTTTTTCTACGTTTTATTAATTACTAGACAAATAATTTAATTGGGAGAAAGTGAGGTTGGATCGGTCTAAATATTGTTAGATATTAAACAAAGAGATGTCGCCACTAGTGTTTATTCTGTCATCCCAGAATAATTCATTCTGTAATTAATACTTTATATATGTCATTAAAACATTAAAAAATGGTCATATTCCATAATAGGAGTAGAAAAATGTTATTTCATGTAGATTTTGCCGTAAATTGTAACAGAAAGTCAAATTTCTTTAGTATTGTTAGTTTTTCGTAAAAAATCATCAAGATACAAAGCAGAAAGGTGTTTTGGCTAACCTATTTTTTTCTCTGAATATTCCAAGTCTTCCTCGGCCTCGTCACCAACGTAATCATCACAATTTTTTAATGGCAGTCCATCCAAGCGGCTTGATAAGTCCAAAATTGGGGTTTTTAGGCTTAAACTTAACTTTTTGAACACCAAATAACCAACAGGAGCTATGGTATCATTTGTGTGCATTACAATTTCAGATTCATCACTAAAAACGTAAAAAGTTTTAAAATTACAAGAAGACCTTGCACTCTATGTACCTTGGCACCAAGGTGCCTAGATTATTAGGTTGTTTTAAAAATATAGAAAATGTCAAAAGCTGTAAAAACGTCAAAGAAGATTTTCAACATAAATTTACTCACATAACTATCCTACTTTTGAACAAAGGGCAGTCAAGAGTAAGTGTTTCATATTCCCCTCCTTCCCCGCAAACATTTAGGCCGTATTTTTCGTTCATGGCAAACAAATGCGGCTGCAATGAGCTCAAAGAGCGGCCCAAATGTTTATTAGGCTCTAAACCTAAAGCTGCCACTTTTATCACAATTGCATCGACTTCGCATTTTATCATTTCATTAAACAGATCGGCTTGTTTTTGTTGCCAGAGGTAAGCTAGAGGAACTAGATTAAGCCTTACACAACTAAAAAAATTTAGTTTATATTTTTTCACTATATAAATTAAATTTCTGAGACCTACACATTTTCTACCCTTATTCGTTGATAATCAGACAAAATAGCCCCCACAGAGACCGCCTCAACCTCCATTTCCTCCATAACCTCTTTAAGAAGCAAATACAAGTCCTCAACCTCATCGTTTTTGCTGGGTTTGTAATTTTTGCCTTGATCGTTGGCAACCCCCATTGTTTCTTTTTTGTACAACGGCAGGTCCATTGCAGCTGCTATAAGGTCTATAGCCTCGTGCCCCACGCTTTGGTACATGTAACTATCGATTTCTGTTTTGCTGTGGGGCACCAAATTAGCTAGGCAAACAATTTGATGACCTGCCGCTATGCACTGCATCATGTTGAATGTGCTGTCTTTGCCCCCACTTATCAGAGCTACCACCTTCATTTTTAACAATTTTCTGAAAGAAAATTACCTATCAACACTAACTACTAAAATTATTGTGGTAGATTCACTGGTTTTAATTTATATTGCATTCTACGAAACACTGGCATTTTTTTGGTGTTTCATTGACTGAAGAGATGAATGACGTCTGAATACGACTTATTTATTTAAAAAATGCTTACACTACACTTGCAGTATCAAATGACAACACTAATTTGCTTGTAAACAAAAATATAACACATTGCCTTCAATATTTTATAAATAAAATAACGTTAAAGCATTATAAGCGAATAAATCTACACTAACCTGGGCGCAAAAACGATGAAATTAATTGAATGTTAGAGTAAAAAAAATAAAAAATTATCTCTGGACATTATTAAAGGTCACTTTTAGGAAATGAGGTTAGATATTGATTTTTTAAAGGAATTACGGATTTTAAGTACCTAAATACACTTTAACAAACTATTCAGAGAAATTATTTTTTATGCATTTTACTATAATGGTACCTAGTCCTGATTATTACGCGTTTATTTTAATTTATTTAGAAAAGCGCTGTTCCAAGTATTTGTTCTTAGGTTGGTCACAAAATAGAACCTTGTAGCACTCTTTTTAAATAATTTTGATTATATTATATTTTATTTTTAAATTACCTTTTTTGTTGTTAACCTCGTAAACAACACTGTTTTTACAGTTTAAATATAACTACCTATTTTAAATTAGTAGTATTTGTCTCATTTTTATCAAGGATTATATTAAGCAAGAAATATTTGCAAAAGGATATTTGAGTTGTTTTTGTTAAGGTAAATAATTTTTTATTTATAAATTAAGGTATTTGGAATATTCCATATATCTGTAGATATATAGAATATCCAAGATACCTATAGGTATACATGCATGTGGAATACCTATTCCAATAAGACATTTAGGTAATTTTATTTAAATAAATCAAAACCTCACTTAACAAACTATTAATACTATAAATAACCATTTATTTAATTCATAATTGTTTTTAACAACATAATTATCAGTGTTTACTGCGTAATTCTGCATTTTTCAAAGATTTTTCAAAAATAATTCTTTGTAGGTAGGCAACACAGATAGCAGAAATCATTCGAGTGAAGTTGGCTTATGCCATGACCATTCCTTTCTCTATGGCCATGACATTGCGCGGCGAATATCCGGTCGGGAGATTGTTTCACACTTTTGCAAATCAAGCGCAGGTTCGCTGAGCTTTTTACGTGTTTTTCGCGTTCGCAAAACTTCTCACCCGTATGCAGCGCTACGGGAAAACGCAAAGAGCAATTTTTTCCGCAGTATTAAGTTAATTTGCGGTCTTTCATCCATGGTTTTTCCAGTTTTTTAGATGTGTGGTTAGGTTTATTGTGTTACGATGTTGAAGTTGTACAAGAATAAGTTGTTAACGGACACCCAGTTGAGGCGTTTGAGCGAACACAAGTACTCCTGTCAAAGTGTCAGTTTGTTGGACAGTTATTTGCAAGTTTACTGGAACTGGCTGGTGGCTAAAGTGCCTGTGTGGCTTGCCCCTAACCTCATTACCATCCTAGGACTAGTTATTAACATTATAACATCTTTAATACTCGTATGGTAAGTGAATATAGAAAAAAAACTAAATTTGTGATTGTTGGTCGTTAAGATGTACAAACTATGGTTATAGGATACATCTACATTTTTGGAAAGTTTTCAATAAAAATGGATTGTTTGTTTAACTAGTACCATTAAGCCAGTCACATAAATGCTACTAAATTTACTAGGACATTTTAACGACAAAATAAAAGCTATAAAAAACTGAATCAAAAATGTTACTTTAAATAAGATAGATAGATAGATAAGATAGATAGATAGATAGACAGATAGATAAATGAACAGAATGCACAGATGCGCAGAGCATACCTGTACAAAAACTGTCAATTTAAGCTAGATAACTGTCTTAAGAATATAAATTAACCCTTTCGGAGCCAAATTTAAATTACTGAAAAAAAAATTATTTTTCTCGATTTTTATGTAAGAATGTCATATTCTCGCACGCAAAATCGTTGAAGAATGAAGCTCATTCTTAAACGATTTTTGGTAACATTTAGTTTTTAAGTATTGGTACCCCCAAAATGTCAAACTGATTAATAACCTCAAATTCATTACTTTTATTGAAAATGAAGCCTTTATTATTGTTTTGTAATATAAAGTTTGCTCCAACAATGCATTTTAATGCAAAATTTTAAGTTTAATGTGTAAAAGTGCAGTTCAGGTTGTACTTGTGCAGGATAACAAATATTGTCATTTTGTGTTGCCAACTGACATTTTGCGAGAAAAATCCCCTAACTAACAACGACCACAAAACAATTAAAAAAACCTAAATAAAAGTTAAAATCGAGAAAATAGTATAAATCACACGTTGCAGAAGGCTATTCTCGCACTCATTCGTTCGTCCACTCGCTCCTTCGTCGCTCGAGGCCAAATTTCGAATTCGTGCGAGAATATGTGGCCTTCTGCAACTTGTACTTTAATATACTATTCTCGATTTTTATGTAAGAATGTCATATTCTCGCACGCAAAATCGTTGAAGAATGAAGCTCATTCTTAAACGATTTTTGGTAACATTTAGTTTTTAAGTATTGGTACCCCCAAAATGTCAAACTGTTTAATAACCTCAAATTCATTACTTTTAGGATTATTTATAATAGCTTTGTTTGTTATCCTGCACTAGTGCAACCTGAACTACACTTTTATTGAAAATGAAGCCTTTATTATTGTTTTGTTATATTAAGTTTGCTCCAACAATGCATTTTAATGCAAAATTTTAAGTTTAATGTGAAAAAGTGCAGTTCAGTTGTACTTGTGCAGGATAACAAATATTGACAAATAAATGAGCCAGACAGGTCAATCAAACTATATTTTATTGGAAATATTATATACCCACAGTACACAAAACACAAAACTACTATAAATTAATCACTAGCACAATTGTTATAAACTTTTATTGTAATGTTCAGTGTTGCTTGTAAAACCTCCTGTGACATTTTTCACTGCTAAAAGTAAACACAATTGTTCAAAAATATCAGAAAACATTAAAAAATAATACAATACTTACACAAAACCTTATTATCCAGTTGACAAATACAGACAGATTATTAATAAATAGTAAATAAAAATAAATCTACCTGTCCATGCAACTGTCATTTTGTGTTGCCAACTGACATTTTGCAAGAAAAATCCCCCAACTAACAACGACCACAAAACATTAAAAAAAACCTAAATAAAAGTTAAAATCGAGAAAATAGTATAAATCACACGTTGCAGAAGGCTATTCTCGCACTCATTCGTTCGTCCACTCGCTCCTTCGTCGCTCGAGGCCAAATTTCGAATTCGTGCGAGAATATGTGGCCTTCTGCAACTTGTACTTTAATATACTATTTCGTTATAGTTGCATTCATTGGTATTATTTTGAGATATTTTTGAAAAAAAAAAATTTTTCATTATTTTTTTTCATAATATGACATGTCTACTGGAATGGACAAAGTTACTAGAGAGGTCAAGTAATTATACAGTCATCTACTGTGTTTTATGTCTAGTCCGCTATAATGGACAACATGTTTTTGAGACAAAATATTTAACATTTAAAAATATAAATGGTGTTAAAAAAAATGTCCACTCCAGTGGACATAGCGTACGAAAGGGTTAAAGCTATATCATCGCTGTTCTGACAAAGAGGTGTAAGGGACATTTTTTCCATATTGGAGTTAAGTTCCTAAGTGATCTTTTACGGTTGAATCTATGATCTGACAAAAGGAAATACATACATACATACTGTCTGTCCACTCTAAGTTGGCGGAACTAAGGAATTTTGTAGTTTAGATATTAAAGAATTGTCGTACTGTGTGCTTTTTAAACAGTTTTTAAATTATAAATAATACTAGTACATATTATATACCAGTATTATTTATAATATAAAATCTGTTTTAAAAGCACACAGTACAACAATTCTTTAATATCTAAACAACAAAATTCCTATATCCCGATATGACTGTCTTAAGAATGTGGTAAAAATCAAATAGGTATATTGCTAGAACAAAACACTACAATTGTAGTGGTTACAATAAAGTTTTAAATTGAAACATGCATAAATGTTGGTATTTTTGCCAGCTTTCTTTATATTTTTAAATTGTGATATACAAAATGTTACATAAAATGGCATTGAAAGTGATTTTTATGTTTTTTTAAGCGTGGATAAATATTAAAACGTACGTCACGCGGCTTGGCAGTAGTTTTGTTTATATTTGCGACGTATTGTTATAATTTAATTGTCAATGGGTTCACGCGTATTTAATAGGTAAAAATACATAAAAAAAAATTAATATAACCTTGCCAATACATCGTGAACCGACACCTGTTAATCTATTTTTAATAGACAATGAACATTAGCATTTAAACCAATAATTATGTTGTGAATAATACAATTAGTATTATTTCAGTCAACTTTAAAGGGTCAGTCCATGTCAACTCAACACACCCATTTTACCACACCACCTCAGATTTTCTTAAAATTTGGTATACTTATACTATGTACTAAGACTAAGAAAAATACCAATTTTTAAATTTTTATCTCACACCGTTTCCGATATATGGCTATGTAAAGTTTTTAAAAACTCGCGAAAAAAGTGTGAACGTGTATTTTTTAAATTGCTCTGGAAGCTGTCCTAATTCAGCTAGAAAGCTGGGAGAGGTGTCATTTTGCAGCATTTTAAATGTTCTTTCAAATGACATACGAACGCCAAGGGTATTAATGAAAAGATTTTGTTCAAAATCCATATATATATTTTGATTCAATTTTTTTTCAAAAAGTACATAATTTAAAATTCTCAAAATATTTGTATAAATACTTAGTACTGTTTTAAACCATATAGTAAAATATAAATGTGGGGTCTTAATGGGTTCATGTTAAAAAAAAAATGATTTGTTTTTTTCATTGGATTATAACACTGCACTCTTACAATAGTAGGCTCCATGTTGACACCAAAATCACTTTAAACACACCTCATTTATAGTTTTATTTTTAAATAAACTACGAATATATACAGGGTCCGATAAAAGTTCCCTGAATTTTTTTTTAAGCGAGTTTAAAATTTATCAATAAGGTTTTCGCGGAAATTGTTTGCTCGAGCAGGTTCCTAGAACCCTTTCATTTCTGAAAATATGCATTTTATGTTGTTCTGTTTAAAATTTAGTTCAATATGAATCCCCAAAAAAAGCGTATCGCAGTAATTGAATTAAAAAAGTCGGGAATGTAGGCAGCCGATATTATTAGGGTTCTTAGAACCCTTATATTTTTGAAAATATTCATTTTATGTTGTTTTGTTTAAAATTTAGTTCAATATGAATCGCCAAAACAAGCGTATCACAGTAATTAAATTACACAAGTCGGAAATGATGACAGCCGACATTATAAAAAAAAATACAATTGTCAGGCTTAAGCCTGATAAACGTTGAATAATGTCAAAATTAGTTAAAAGTGAAAAACCAGCATCAGAAATATTTTTTTTAACAATGAACCCATTAAGACCCCACATTAATATTTTATTATATGATTCAGAACACTACCAAGTATTTATACAAATATTTTGAGAATTTTAAATTATGTACTTTAAAAAAAAAATTGAATCAAAATATATATATGGATTTTGAACAAAATCTTTTCATTAATACCCTTGGCAGTCGTATGTCATTTGAAAGAGCATTTAAAATGCTGCAAAATGACACCTCTCCCAGCTTTCTAACTAAATTAGGACAGCTTCCAGCGCAATTTAAAAATAAACGTTCACACTTTTTTCGCGAGTTTTTAAAAACTTTACATAGCCATATATCGGAAACGGTGTGAGATAAAAATTTAAAAATTGGTATTTTTCTTAGTCTTAGTACATAGTATAAGTATACCAAATTTTAGGAAAATCTGAAATGGTGAGGAAAAATTTCTTTTTAAAGTGTGTTGATTTGGCATGGAATGGCTCTAAAGCTTTGTACATTCTACAAATATTTACTGATTAAAAAAAAAATTATAAATAATATAAACCATTGCCATTATTATTGTTTAATATCAATTTAAAATTAAGCACATTTGGCTGAAGGACCTCAGTCATTGGCAATTTAATCTTATGTTGTAATCTTACGTTGTATGTATTTACATAAGGATTAATAAATACGTTATTTATTATTTATTATTATAAACAAAACATCCCTCTTTCCAATGCCACCAACCCTGTCGTATTTTTATCGGTATCCCTTAAAACAGACAATTTTTCTCGCAGGTTTTCACCAGACGCGAGACAAGAGGCGCCCAGATGGGCCTGCGCTCTCTGCGCCCTGGGGCTGTTTATCTACCAAAGTTTGGATGCCATAGACGGCAAACAGGCCCGCAGAACGGGCACTGCTAACCCATTGGGCGAACTATTCGACCATGGGTGTGATTCCATCTCCACAGTGTTTGTAGCCTTGTCCGCATGCATTGCAGTGCAACTGGGGCACTACCCTGGCTGGATGTTCTTTCAGGTAAAAAAATTGTTTTTGCTTCAATAAATTTATTTATTGTTAGTAATTATGTGGGAGTATTATTTATTGCAATAGACTGGTTGTGTAATTGAAATTCGTATGAATTAAGGAATTTCTTTTTTTAATGATAACATTGCAATAAAACAATGTTTTTAATTAAAGTGTCTTATTTATCTAATTAAATTTTGTAATTTTTCATAGCTCATATTCTATTGGATATTACCAGACTAACTAAAACACACTTTAAACAATATGAGTCTAACTTATGTTTTCATTTGAAAATTTAGTGCTTCTGCGCAATGACCTTGTTCTATTGCGCACACTGGCAGACCTATGTGTCAGGCACCCTGCGATTTGGCAAGGTTGATGTAACAGAGGCCCAATTTACCATCATGGGTATCCTGATGGTGTCGACGATATTCGGACCCGGCATTTGGTCGACCAAGGTAAGAATTTACAGAGTTAAGACTTTACAATCAAGTTTATGATTTATCTTAATTATTATTATTTTTTACCACAAACGAAATCCAGTTTTTTAGCGATTCTATCTGTTTATGGTATATTATACCCACGAGCACATTTGCGGCGGCAATTTATTCACTTTATTGCAATTTAGTTGTTATTTTTACTGGAGGTGTGGGCAAGAACGGATCCACCGTCGCAGTAAGTTAATTTTTTCAAAAATTGAAATATTTCGAAAATATTTTATGGACCGAGCCCTGGCCGGGTATCGGTGTTTAGCATGGATAGGAGGCCCGCAAGTTGATATACCAAGCCCGCAAACTAACATTTGTATTTTTTTACCTAATAATTAATTTATTGAGTTTTTTGATTTGTTGATTTTTATTGATTAACAAGATTTATTTATATGTTTATCGTAAAATAATAATTGATTTTGGGTTACAAGCATTTCCCAAAAGGTATAGTCGACAATCCAGATTCCATCTCACTACTGTTACAGTAAATGAACTTTTTGACAATATAAGTCAAGTCTAAATATAACAAAGTATAAATTATCTGGATTGTCAAATAAGATTTACAATGACATTTATAGCATAAATGATTCGTTTAACACCTCATACAAGGAGTTGTAACTTATAATTTATGAAGGGGTAAGAAGCAAAAGGGTACAAGTGCAAGAAAAGGAGTTATTAACTTTTAATATAAAGTTTTTGCTGTATACAAAAATTTGGATACTTATAACAATATTGTTGTTTGCCTTAATCAACATGCAGAACTCGTACAACTTTCACGTTATGGGATTTTTTTTTAAATTGGACTCTAAACTACCCAATTCTGCACTTACTTATTTTTATGCTAAAATGCACTTGTACCCTTTTGCTTTTTTCCCCTTCATATTTAAGTATATAATATATATAAGCATATTATACTTATAACTTATGTTGTAAAGTTTACAAAAACGTAAGCATTTTTACCATAAAAACTACTAGACCTAGAGAAAAGTCTCTAGACCCATTTTTTATTTCATACAGAAACCATACAAATTTTAGGTTCCCTTGGTGCATGGGGTTATATTAAATATTGTATCCCGTTTAACTCTATGTTTACTGTATTTTCTTGTAAATTACCAATTAAAATTGTTTTTGTTTTCCAAAATGTTGATTTTTTGAAAATTGTCTATTATTGTAGGTGTTTGGCGTACTACGCATGGGTCTTTTGTCCGACACGTGTTTTTTATTGGGGTTCGCAAACGTTTTTTTCGGTTTTTTGAAAAACATACAAAATGGCGGATGCGGCAAAAACGGTTCTACCATTGCTGTAAGAAAAACAAAATGCGCGATCTATGTTTTAATTCTTTTTGTAATAACGCGGAATTGGTGGTTATTTTTGTTTTCAATGTGAGGTAATATGTGGGAAATTGTTTGTAATACCTGCTTTAAGGAATATTTTTATTATAATACTATAGGTTTAAATTTGTTTTAACAATAATATTACGAATTGCACCTTTTTATTTAATAGTAACACATTAATATATATAGTTTTTAAAGGTTTATACTGTATCTTCTTGTGCAAAACATTAAAAAAAATGAACCACAACAATTATCAAAAAGTTTTAAATTTAGGAGATAGGACAACCACGCCATAACTTTGACCGATAAACACCGCATGTTGTCGAGTTTGTTAAATATTGCAAATATATAAAAAAACACAAATTAAAATATTCAGTTGATTTTTGTTTATAGCTTAAATAATGTAAATTAAATTTTGCCATATCAAAAATTGATCGCTTAAAATAAACTGCTTTTCAATAAAATAAAATTTACACAAAGGATGTTTCAAACGGTGCCAAATCGCAAAATCTTTTGAAGCATCGTTCTGTAAATTTTTGAGGGATTTTTTTGGAATTGACAAGTTGGAGTCATTTTTCTTTTTTGTTTTTGTTTCTTTTTCAAAGATTACGTCATGGGAGCTGGAAGTAAAGCTGATACCGATCGCTATAGCGTGTGCCGTTGCCGTACTGCTGGCACAGGCCAACGTCTCGGTGATATTCACGGGCGGAGTGGGCAAGAACGGATCCACGGTCGCTGTAAGAATGACATGAGTCGCAAAAACAAATTAAACAAAAATAATAAGAAATTACCCCATTTGGAAACTCTGTAATATCGAGTTCTAAATCAATGTTCGGACCGTTATTTTTGACGTTTTGAGGTGTAGTTGACAATCTAGATTCCATCTCACTGCTGTTGATAATTACTTTGACAATACAAGCCAAGTTGCGAGCAATTTCAAGTAGGCACTACTTAGCACTTATGGCTATGGCTTCAGGTTCTACTTAGCCAAGTTTAAGGCTTATTTTAAGGATCCTAAATGTTAAATTAGCCTTAAAGTGTCATTATTAGCACTTTTATTAGGTTTAGGACTTGATAAGAAGAGTTTTAAGGCATGTGCCATTTTTAAAAGTTGGGTCATAATGCTTGTTTCACGTTTTAAGGGGATTTTTGACAATATATATTGCATCAAACCATGTGTTTCTTTGAACTTATAAACCAGGAAATTAACAAGTTTAAGTAAGCCTTACTTAGCCCTTGGGGCTAAGTTTAAAGTTCTATTTTTTTAAAAAATGTTATGTAGATTTTCAAACTAGCCTTAAAATGTTACTTAAGCAACGCCAATTAAAAATGGTTTTTGCTCTAAGTAAGGTGTTGATTATTATTTAAAATCGTAGCTTTTTATTACTATTCTGTGTCGAATGATCCTAGCTATATCTATCTGTTTCTAACAGTTTTTACACATTGATTGAACACATTTACAGTACAAAACCGTTTCCTATTTTTTTTAACAGAATTGTGAAAAAACGTTGGAATTTAAAATTTAAAAAAATGATAGGTTCTGACGTTTTTTGAGCTTGTCAATGTCGATTAATTTTGTTGCCCATCCAAACAGCTGTCCGCATGCGCTTGTAGAAACGCTTGTAACGCTTGCTTGTCACTAACACGCATGCCAACTAACTAAAAAAAAACTGTACTGTTTTGACACCACAATCCACACATGTGTTTGACACTTTAAAAATCAATCAAACAGTATGGTTTTAGGGGTTGGAGGGCTGTATTTTAATGTTTTTTTATGTTTGGTAGGGAACCAGTGTATTATCGCCGGTAATACCGTTTTCATTGGTGATTTTACCGGCCTTTATAATCTACCAAAAGTCGCCGCAACATGTCTACGAAGAGCATCCCGCCCTGTATATTTTGGCCTTTGGGTTGGTTGCCGCCAAGGTCACCAATAGGCTTGTGGTACGTATGTTTTTCTAGTATATCATAAAAAATCATTGAGATACAAATTTAAAAGCTCTAACTTCTTAAAATTGTTTTTTGATGATTCTTTTTAGGTTGCTCACATGACCAAGAGCGAAATGGAATATATGGATTGGTCATTATTGGGACCTGCTATGCTATTTTTGAACCAATATTTCAATAGCTTTATTAACGAATATTATGTCCTCTGGGCAGCAATGGTAATATAATAAAAAAATGTACTATGCTGCACCCGAAATTTCCACTTTGACAACTAAATACAACTTTTTGAGGTTATGTATCTGTCAGTTAGAATCTAGACCTTTTCACAGATTATAACAAAAATATATTTTATTTTTAAAAAATTATTTTCTGAAAATAATAAATTTGTATTTTTTGTGTTCTAAGCTTTAGAACACAATAAATATTATTATTTTTAGAAAATACGACGAAATTATCGTTAAACGAAGAAAACTATTAGAGTGTTCTTGGTTAACCTTACAGATAAATAACCTCCATTATTGGACTGCATTCCTTATTTAAATGTCAAAGCGGGACTTTTTGATGTGGCACAAAGACAAATTTGCCCATTTCGCATTTCCCGTAGGCTTCACAAAATCCTCTATTTTTTTAGGTTTGGGCGACATTCGATCTGATTAGATACTGCTCGCAAATTTGCCAGGAAATCTGCTTCCACCTGAATGTGGAACTTTTCCGAATTCCATACCCAGGGGGTCCTTTGAGAGCCGTATCCCACCCCCAGGGGGCGCTGACCGCAGCGGAAAAAAACGGTACGAATCCTAAAATGAACAACGTCAAAGCGATGTACAAAACGCGTAGCAAAAGCAAGCACTACTAGGCTAGTTCGGACGGGTTCACTTTATAGTTTTTTCTTGTTTTGTGTCGACAATTTCGTGTGGTTTGGAAAGAGCGTGCTTTTGTTGGTATGCCCTGAAAATTTTATTAAAATACAATGATGTTTGTGGGAGTTTTGGAAAACCTAACATGTGGGCCCCAAAATATTTTTCAGGGTATTAATAAAAATGCGTTTTTTAACCAGTATTATCCCACACATTTTAGCATTAAATGCTAGACTGTGCCAAAAGTCTTTGTGGCTGTTTTTTCATTATTCTTTTAATTTTTTACAGGGTAAACAAATTTTATAGATTCAAACTATTTTAAAGTATCACCCCTGTTTTTATGCTGTTATTCGTGCATAAAGCATAGTTAAATTTTGGCTATCCTTTGTGCAGATCATAATCCTACAACTTTTCATCATTAATGTTGTCTCATTGTTAGGGTATTCATGCTTATTTTTTCCCAAAGATTTAATTTTATTACTTGAAGTAATATTTATTTTTATAAGCCGATAAGTTGTTTACTTACTTAAGTAAAGGATTATTTTTTTTATTAGCAATCAAAATAAACGAATTTCTTCCTTGAAAAGGTAACAATAGATTTTTGCCTAGTGATATTGATTACGCACATAATGTTTACTCCAATGTACAGTTTTGACATAAATTATTATTATTATATATTTGGCTCTATTATTTTTTATAACCCTCCTTGAGTAAATATTAACTTTTCTGCTAGTTTATTAACCCAATCAATTGGTTTACTGTATACTAAAAATGTAGGTAAGTAACTCTGTCTAATATACTTTTGCATGGGGAACTTTTTTGACCAAATTAAAAAAAAAATAATTTTATGTAAAAACTGTTTATTCTTAACAGAGTGTTTGTTTTTGTTAATACACCGCTTTTGCACCAAATAAAAAAAATATTTTTTTAGTAAATAACAAAATTTTGCTCTTTTAGGCAGAGACAAAAAATTGATAAATTCCGACGAAGAGGACTTGGAACCTTTATTGCAAAGAGTGGATGATCATTAACGATGTGGGGACTTTAATTTAATTTCAGTATTTGTTTATTACCCTTTTCCTATTAATATAAAAGTTTATTTTTATTACTTATTTTATAGAATTATCTTATAAATGTTTTCAACTAATAACAAGTTAGTTTTTCATTATTTACTAACATGAGTTTACTAACAATCTTAGAGGCCTATTCCCTTTCATTGAACATGCATGTTCATATTCCCTTTCAAATATTTCGTCTATAGATGCATGCGCTCAAAGAATTTCTTAAACATCTATTTTTATAAACATCAGTGTCCAATTTGATATTCCGTTTCAAATATTCGACGGTGAACATACATGATGTTTAAAAACTAGGGCTGTACAATTTAGCCGATTAAGCCGGCTAAAAAAGTTGGCTAAGTTAATTAGCTAGCTAACTGATCAGCTTAGCTAATTTAACCTGTTAACTGAATTAGCTGGCGGCTTAACCGGTTAATCTAGCTTAGCTCAGCTAATTAGCTAAACGGCTAATTGGCTGAGCTAATTTAGTTAACCGGTTAAATTATCTAAGCTGATCAGTTAGGTAGCTGTGGGTAGCTAGTTATGTTCTGTGGGTAGCTAATTAACTTAGCTAACTTTTTTAACCGGCTTAATTGTTCAGCCCTATTAAAAACGTATGTTTACACTTGTTTGAGAGGTGCTGTTAGCCAATATTTGATGTTATTTATCTTGCATTATTCATAAATTGACAAATCACATAAGGGGTCACACCAAACAAATATTAAAAATATTTTATATATTTATTTTTTATTATTAAAATGATTTTTTTAATTATCGTAGTAATACAAAAATACAATTTTAGCTTTATTAAATTGTTAAATAAAATAAGGTAATTTATTAAAAAAAAAACAGAAATCAGAAAATCTGAGTGTGACGTGAGAATTTGGGGAGAGGGATGTCAAGACTTTGACAATATATGTATTACAAGGGGGGCAGAGTGTCTAAAAAGGAATTCTAAAAACTGTATATGCATATAGGTAGGTATATTGGTAGGTAGGATAATAAATAACTTGGAAACAAATATTTTATTAAAAAAATACAACAAATATTAAATATCTATGTAATATTAATACACAAAAATAAAGACAAAAAATTAGTCAAACAAAAGTATAAGAACTAATAAAATCAAAAACATATACATCTAAAAACTCATCTCACTTTTTTTCTTCAAATGGGAGCTTAAACTTTTTTGTTAAATTTTATCAATACCTTTTAAATCCTCTACACCAGTGGCGGCTCGTCAGGGTAGGCCTCTGAGGCCGCGCCTCACCCTTAAAATGAAGGAACGAACGACTTTTTGTATTTATATTTTTGCCTATTACAAGTGTATTTTTACAACAGTTCTACCCAATAAAAAGTAAAAAACCAATCAATCATATTAAGCGTAAATAAAAATCCAGGCGCAAAGCGCGTCAAGTTAACATGCATCGTTGAGACGCCAGACAGAGGCGAAATTTTCACAGCCTCGGAAGCTCCCATTTACCTCTTGAAAGCGAAAATAACTCACCAACAAAAATATCGCCGTAAGTTCGCGAATAAACACCGTAGATGAGGCGAAATTTAGTTAACTTGGCTTGTTCTGATTGGTGGTCCGTTTATGGTGGGATGCCAGCGGAGACAAAGAAGGTTGCCAGTCTTCTCTTAGCGTTTGTAGAGCACGTTATTGTTTTGATTTATATTAAATTATTTAAAACTTTTGGCTGATCTTTTATAGTTTTTGTCTCGATTAGTAAAATTTCTTATTTAATTATTGTAGGGAACACACTAAGGTAGATTTAGCAGTTTTTATTAAGCAAATTTTATATTTTGAAATAATAGATTGCATAATTCTTCAATTAGAGACGCGGTTTGAAAATTTAGAATTACTTTTAAATCTCACTGCAGACCCACAATTTTACGACCAAATAATAGATACATTTTCAATCTTAAAAGTTAGACGTATATTATTTTATATTTTTTAATACTTAGGTAGGGGTCGACTTTTTAGTTTTATTTTTATTTTTTGATTAATTTATTTATTTTTAACTTTTTTAAGACTATATTTTTAAGTTTAGGATTAAAACTAGTCTTTGATGTGATATTTTGTTTGTTTTGTTTTTTAGAGTTTATTTTTTGGTTTAGTAGTGCTATCGGCTCCATTTTAAAAAAGGTCAACGCGTCGCAGAATAATACCTCCCGGGTGACGTGGAAATTTATTCGTATTTAGACAAAATTAACCTTATGTAGCCTCACCCTCCTGTACACCCACGAGCCGCCACTGCTCTACACCTTTGCTACTCATCAGAGTTTAAGTTTAAGGACTTTCTCTTGGCCTCTCTGTTGTAGAAAGGGCCCTTTCTACACAGCCTGTGGTGTGACTTTAAAGGCTGGTCAATGCAATGCTCTGCATGCCAAGTTCAAGAATTGGTAATCCCTCCACCACTAACTATCCTGTTAGGGCTAGTAATTTACCCTCAATGTCATTAAGTTGTTTTACTGGCTCCCTAACATTGCCATTCTCTATGTGAGAAATGCGTAGTTTCCTTGTTCTTTTTCTTACATATGGGCCTTCAAGTCACTAAAGTCTGTTTAAAAACAAGTAGGTAACAAATAATTATTTTAAGATTACCCTTTTCAATTTAAGGATAGACTTAATAATAGATAGGCTTGTCCCGCCAGAAGATCTTTAACTATAGTTCAACATAAAACGTTTTTCCTAAGTATTTTTAGAATTTGGATTTTCTTAAGTTATATATATTAAATATCACCAATGATTTTTAAAATAATTATTAACACAATTTTAGATTATAAAACTAAGATTATAGAAAAAGGACTCCTATATAGAAACATTTATCGCACCCTTTTTGATAAATAAAAAAATATGTGCTATATGAGTGGCCTATATACAATATACATCGCTAGAAATCATAGAAATAATACTCTATGCCAGGGTGCTCTATGCTATAGAAATTAACTAATGTAATTTTAGTAGTAGCTAGATAGATGGCGCTTTAAATTGTAAATAGGCAACAAAGATAGCACGTAGTTTGTATTTTTTTATTTGCCTTCTCACATGTATTTTTGCATAATTTTTACGTACTTTTTGCCCTTAATAAACTCTTATATTTTTTAAAAATTGTATTTAAACATCCTAATTTAAACTAATGTTTATTTTTGGTGGTATTTTACAATATTTAAATTTGGCGCCGCAGAGGGTAATACCCCGATGGCCATGAGTATCCGAAGAATCTGGACCAATCGGTGTGCGGAGATTTTATCTCGGCATTCTTCCAGTTCTTGTTTTTGGTTTGTGTACCTACCATAGAAAAATACACAAACAAATACTAAATTTATACCCGTTTTACATACGAATTGTTTGTTTTTATTGGTTTTGGTTTTACATGATGAATACTTCAGTTTTGGTTTGTTGTGCGTTTGTTTCGAGTTTATGCCATTGTTTTTAATGAGTAGCAACTAGATTTTGGATAAATATGTGACTGTGATACAAAAAAAACAAATAAATTTGTTCAAATGACGAAGCGAGTGCTATGGATTCAACTGTTTATATTTGTATACTTCATGCACCTTTCTTATCAAGGTATACAAGTTAGGATAATATACGAAAATAAACAATGTTTATATTTGCGATATTTTTAGGCTATGTAAACCAAAGTGGCCCTATGCTTTTGTACTCGGCGATGGTAGATATAAGAATGACAAACACCACAAAAGGCTCAAATAACAAAATCAAAACTACTGTAATAGTAAAAAACTACTCTCAATACATAAGTGCCATAGATTTTCATTTTGAGCAGAAAAAAGTCTGTTTTGCTGACCATGGTATAGAAAGCATAGTATGTACTACATACACTGGAAATGACAATGAAAACAAGACTTATACCAAAATTATATCTGATGTTCCCTCACCAGACGGCTTAGCCTGTGATTGGTATACAAACAAACTCTATTGGACTGATAGTATATATAACAGAATAGAGGTGGCAACTATGGAGGGGAAAGACCGTAGAGTGTTGTTTTGGACAGACTTGGATCAACCCCGTGCCATAGCTGTTGCCCCCTTGAGCGGACTAATGTTTTGGACGGATTGGGGTGAAACCCCAAAAATTGAGCGTGCTGGGATGAATGGAGATCCCAAAACCAGAAAGGCCATAGTAAGTGAGAAGATTTTCTGGCCGAATGGGTTGACTGTTGACTATAAATTGGAGATGATTTATTGGGTGGATGGAAAGTTGTTGTTTATCAAGCAGATGGATTATGATGGGAAGCAGATGTCAACAATTTTGAGTTCTGGGATGGATTATCCATTTGCTATTACTCATATTGGGTCTAAGTTGTATTGGACTGACTGGAAGACTAGGTAAGAATACTGATTTAGTTACAAATTTTTTATTCAAAAACAAAATAAACAACAATTGTAAAAACAGTGAAAAAAGTAAAAAAAAAGCAATATTAGGGTGTTTACAAAAATTTACTATTCTTTTTTTTGATTTCTGATCAAAAAATTGGTTGCTGGGCACCTTAATCAATAAAAAAACATGTATATAATATATGTATACCTCAATAACAAATGAATTTTATTCTAAGCTTAACAGACATTTTGATGATGAATGAAATGCTCAAAAAGGGTATTTTATGTTTTTTTTCGTAAACCTAATAGGTTTAACCTATCCATTCGAAAGATGTTTATAAAGTCTTGAATTTTTTTTTTTTAAATTTTATAACTTTAAAATTAGCAGCATATTTATGTTGAAAATTAATTTATCTAGAGAAAAGGTCTCTTTGTTTTTTTGATAAATGTAAGCATTTCAAATATAATCGCAACCATACCGATTTCAACTGTTTTTTAATAATTACCGTAAAAAATATTACTTTTTTTGTCCATAAATTTGTGTTCTTATTAATTAAAAGAAGCTTTTAACTATTTTCACATTTTGTATGAATAACATTTTTTTTTAAGTATTACCCAAACCTCCTGGATGAGAGACATTTGTTGTTTATTGAAAAACTTTAAGTAGAAAAATGCGAAATAATAACTATAAAAGTTTATTCCGTCAAGTTATCCATGAAAAAGACGTTAAAAAAAGATTTTTACGATATTAATAACTTTCAGGGCCATCCATTACTTCGACAAAAACTCGGACCAAAAACCAACTGAACTGCTTTTCGTGCAAGAAAGCCACGTGTTGATGGACGTGCACGTGTGGAGCAAGGAGCGCCAGCCCAAGAACACGCCAAATCCCTGCGAGAAAAACAACGGCGGCTGCTCTCACCTCTGCCTACTATCGCCCATCGAACCTAGATACAGCTGTAGCTGCGGAATCGGCATCAAATTAATCGACAAGTTCAATTGCGCCGATTCTCCGCAAGAGCTGCTGCTATTGGCCAGAAGACAAGGTAGGGGAATAATTGTATTTTATTGCCTAGTAGATATCTAAAAGAGAGTTTTAATAAAAAATGGTATATACAGTGTGACCCATTTGTTTTCGACTCACCCCTGTAAAATCTTTATTTATTGTGCGATTTTAACCGGATTTGTTTTAAAGTGTAGATCTTGATAAACTGTATTTTTGAAGCAAAAAAACTTCATATTTTTACAAAATACAAGGCCTACTATGTCAGTTTTTAAGAGTAATTTTTTAAGAATTCATATTAGCGATTTTTTTAAACAAAATCTAAGCACGGCACTGGATTCACCACCCTATACTAACTTTTATTGAAAAATTTTAAGTAGAAAAATGCACAATAATTACTACAAAAATTTATTTTGTCAAGTAATCCATGAAAAAAACATTGAAATAAAATTAAACTAATAGTAAAATGGTACTATTACTATAAGTTTAATTTTATTTCATGGATAACTTGACAGAATAAATTTTTGTAGTTATTATTGTGCATTTTTCTACTTAACATTTTTTAATGAAATTTAGTAAAGGGTCGTTTTAAGGGGTGGTGTATCCAGTGCTGTGCTTAGATTTTGTTTAATAAAATCACTAATATAAATTATTAAAAATCTACTCTTAAAAACTGACATAGTAGGTCTTGGATTTTGTACTAATATAGCATCTTTTGCTCCAAAAATACAGTTTATCAAGATATACACTTTAAAACAAATCTGGTTAAAATCGCACAATAAATAAAGATTTTACAGGGGTGATTCGCAAACAAATGGGTCACACTGTATATATAAAAGGTGTTATTGGTACCTGTAAAAGAATAGGTAAAAGAGCATTGCCTTTTAGAAACATATCTATAATGTAATTATTATAATTATAATAATTAATCTTTTACAAGAACAAACACTTAAATACAATTTCTACCAACTTCAACAAAATTTCTTTGTTTTTTTCAGAGGCTTTAAGCCGCAATTTTCGTTTTTTATACCTTTTAATGCAAATTTACTTACTTATACCAATTGTGTATGTTTTATATTGCCGCAATCCTCTTCAAACCAAGTTTTTGTCAATATTAAGGTTTAGTCAGTTATAAATGTAGGTATAACTTATAATGTAATAAACACATATTTTAGTATAGGTAAGATAACCTACAAATCTTTATTGTCATTTAAAATTTGCTATGTTGCCAAATTGGTTCAAACTTAAATCAGTGGATATGCGTAAATCAGTTGATATAAATAAATCAACGTTTCTGCATACGTCCCTTAGTAGTCCAGTCATCTTAGTCAAAATAAGGTAAGAATCTCGGAATTTGAGATACCAAGCTGTATATTTGTATAAACTTTTATTTTGACATCCTAAAACTTGCCTCAAAACCTACATACTGTAAGGTGTCCGCATCTGTCAAAAATTAAGGTCAAAGGCCACAAAAATTAACAATAGATACATCATGAAAAAAGTTATTAACTATAATGTAATATTTAAAAAAATTAAAATTATTTATAATTATATATTTCTCAACATTTTATAAACAGTTTAAGGCATGTTTTTGATCGGGCCTTCCGGTTGGCCTTAAATGGTACTCTATATAGTTAAACACTGCGCGCTCACTGCCCTCTATCTCAAAAACGATTCGAGGTATAAAAAAACTTTTTAAACAAAACTTGTAGAGAATTTTCTCTTCTATAATATTGATAATAAATACAAATCGCGTAAACCCCATAGGAAACGAGATATTTGCAGAAAATGTTAAAAAAATCGATTTTTGTGACCTTTGACCTTAATTTTTGACAGATGCGGACACCTTACAGTATGTAGGTTTTGAGGCAAGTTTTAGGATGTCAAAATAAAAGTTTATACAAATATACCGCTTGGTATCTCATATTCCGAGGTGAAACTACTAAGATGACTGGACTATAGTGTCATGGAAACATGTACGACAATGAGCGATTTGAAGGTGGGAGTAGAAAAATTATATTTTTCTTATAAAAACTCTCTTTCAGACATCTACCTGGTACACCTGGACTCCCCGGATTACACGCACAAAGTTCTGCCGCTCACCAACGTAACCTACGCGATCGCGGTGGACTACGACCCTGTCGATAACTTTCTCTACTGGACGGACGACGACGTAAAAAAAATCCAGAGGGCGCGCTTAAACGGAAGTGAGGAACAGGAAGTGGTTTCCACGGAAATCACAAACCCTGATGGACTCGCCATCGATTGGCTATCGCGGAATTTATATTGGACTGACGCCGGCACAGACCGCATAGAGGTCGTGCGCATTAACAAAAATTTCCGCAGAGTTATTATTAGCGACGGTTTGGTGGATCCCAGGGGAATTGCAGTGGCGCCGGAGTTGGGTTGGCTGTTCTGGAGCGACTGGAACGAGAAAGAACCGAAAGTTGAACGCAGCAATACGGACGGTTCTGAAAGAATCGCCATAGTTTCGAAGGAGTTAGGTTGGCCTAATGGTATTACGTTAGATTTGGTCAAGAGGAAAATTTATTGGTGCGACGCCAAGGCCGACAAGATTGAATACGCGAATATGGACGGTTCTGAAAGAAAAGTGTTAACGGATGATAATGTACCCCATGTGTTTGGGTTCAGTCTTATGGGGGATTATATTTATTGGACTGATTGGCAGCGGAGGTCCATCGAAAGAGCCCATAAAGAGTCAGGTAAGAAAACATCCCAAAAACAATCCAAAATCCCCAAAAACATTTGACACTTTTTTAAACACCATGTGGTAAGGCCATTGCCAAGAAGTTACAAAATGTTTTTAGGATTTTAGGTTAATTTTTTGGCAAAGGCCATACCATGTTGAATACCCAACTTCTCGTCCACAAACCATATTTTAAACCCTTAATTCAAGCTTAAAACTTAAAAAAATATTGTTAACACTAAAACTACAGGGTCTGGCAACAGAATTGAAAATGCTGCTATGGAAATACTATTGATTTGATATATGTCAAATAGTGACAGACTTGTACCTTATTGCCGAAAGTTTCGTGGCTGCTATGAAAATACTACATGTTGATTTGATATATGTCAAATAGTTAAGGATTTCTGCATTGTTGTTCAAAATTGTGTGCAGAAATCGAGTCGATTGACTTTATCAATGGGATTTAGCCTCTGGACTGTCTGTATCTTGTACAGATGGAGTTTTAAATCCAGATGTAAAATTGTTTGCAAACTTTGGTCTGAAATGTGTAGAGCAATCGAGTGCCGAACTACAGAACATCGTGGACTGCGCTCAAACGCTTCTGGCAAATTATATTTACGACGAAAGCGTCTCTGCGATTGTACGAAGGACTGGGTCAGGGTACACGAATTTACAGCAGATCCCTTGATTAATCGGCCAGTTTGCCATTGCACACGAAACCTTTGAAAATAAGGTATAAGTCTGTCACTATTTGACATATACCAAATCAATAGTATTTCCATAGCAGCCTTTTCAAAACCGTTCAATTCTGATGCCGGACCCTGTACATTAAATTCTTATTACAGCCACTGACAGGGAACAAATTTTGGACCAAACAGAAAACGTAATGGGCTTAAAAGCCTTTAAATTAGGACCTGTAGAAGGCTGGAACTCTTGTAAAGAAAACAACGGCGGTTGTTCGCAATTTTGTTTTTTCCGACACAACAAAACTCGCGTTTGCTTGTGTCAAATCGACTACGAACTTACCGACGATAAAGCAAACTGCGTGAAGCCCAATTCTTTTTTATTGTACACGAAAAAAGATAGCATAGGTAGGATTGGTATTGAGAATGAGGAGAATAATGTTACTATACCCATACAGGGCATAAAACAAGCTAGGTAAGTTGTAGTAAAGTAGTTGTAGATTTGGAAAAACTTTTTTTTTAATTTTAGTGCCATAGACTTTTACATTAACACAAACAGCATCTACTGGAGCGACAGTAAGCTAAAAACGATAATGCGCGCGTTCATAAACGGATCCGACCCGCAAAAAGTAATAGATTTGGGTTTAGCCTCGCCAGAGGGCATTGCAGTGGACTGGCTGGGCTTAAATATCTACTGGACGGACCCTGTCGCCCAGAGAATAGAGGTTTCGCGATTGACAGGGTCCAGCAGGAGAACTCTACTTTGGGGGGTTTATAATCCGCACAGCATTGTGTTGGACCCCGTAGCAGGTGTGTAATTGGTGTCGGAAATTGTTTATTTTTCTGTACTGACGATTTTTTTTAAGGTTTTATGTACTGGTCGGAGTGGGACCCCTCAAACTCCATCAGAAGAGCGTGGATGGACGGCAGAAATAACAAAAAACTTACCGACACGAAACAAGCCACTGGGTTGAGTTTGGATAATGAGGGTAAAAGACTGTACTGGGTTAACATAGACAAGCCCGCCATAATCTCTTGCGACTTGGATGGAAACGACAAGCAGGTTATCAAAAATGATAACTTTAGACCTATAGGTTTGGCATTGTACAAGGATCATTTGTATTGGAGTGACGAAAAAACCGGCGATATCATAAGAGCGAACAAAAAAGACGGTTCAAACATGCTAAAAATCCACTCATTCCCCGATAGTAGTGCAACGGATTTGCTAGTGTATCACAGTACAAAACAGCACCAATTCAACCAGTGTACGGTTGGTAACGGGGGCTGTACACATCTTTGCTTAGCTCTGCCATCATTCGAGGAAAAAACCACGTTAACCTGCGCATGCCCGACGCACTACACTTTAGTGAACAAAACTGAATGTATACGTAAGTATAAATAATTAAAAATACTTTTCAAATTGGTAATAAACGTTTTTTCAAAGCTCCTAGCAATTTCATGATATACAGTCAAAGAAACTTGGCGGTAAGACTTGTACCTGACACCAAGGAATGTCCAGAGGCGGTGTTGCCAATGCAAGGGCTTAAAGCAGTGAAAGCCATCGATTTTGATCCTAAAGACAACTATTTATACTGGGTATAACACTATTAAACCTTTTTTTGTTGTAAAAATACTGTATCGTTCTTTTTTTTTAGATTGAAGGCAAATCCCACTCGATAAAACGCCTCGAAGCCAGCGGCAACTCAGCAAACGATATTACCATGGTCGTTTCCGGTAACGAGGGTGTGGTGCCTTTCGATTTAGCAGTGGATACAATTGGGCGTTTATTATTTTGGACTTGTTCAGCTGAAAACATCATAAACATCACGCGTTTGGATAACACCATTTCTTTTGGACATTTGGAGAGCAAGGAAGATGAAAAACCCCGACTAATCGCCATACATGTCACAAAAAGGTATAGTTTTCAGGATATATTAACAAAAATAACTATTTTACATTACAAATATTTTTAAGGCTACTTTTTTACACCGACATAGGCGCCACACCTCAGTTAGTTCGAACAAGATTGGATGGTTCTCATAAATTAACCATAGCTAAAGCAAATGATATAGTTGCTATAGCAGTTGATGTAGAAAATGAATTAATCGTATGGGCAAGAAGTCAGACCATTTATATGGCCAACATTGAAGGAGGAAATATGTAAGTAATAGATTTTGTAAGGGTATTCCGAAGTGAAAGAATTCTAGTCAACAAAAACTAATAATTTTATTAACGTCATTTTAAAGAACACACTTTTAATATAAGTATATCCCTAAAATTTTATTTAAATTTACTTAACAATTTTTGTAAAAGTTAGACATTAAAAAGTAAAAATTATAAGTTCGAAAAATGTGTGCTCTTAAATTGTTATAACTTAAGTAAAAAATAATTTAATAGAAAAACTAGTAATTTTTTTAGAAATACCTTATTAGTTTAAAATGTTATTAATACTGGGTAATTTTTGTGAAAGTTGCAAGTAATTTTTTTTTTGGAAACCGTATGCCAAACGGGTCAATTTTAAGTTTTATTTTGTCTTTGGTATGTAAACTTTATATAGTATGAACAAAATTAGCTGTTCATATTAAACAGCCGAGACATGGGACGCATTTAAAAAACACGAAAAAATTAGTAAAATACACGTTTTTTCAGCACCGTGTAATTATTTAGAAATATTGATTGAGAAAATTTATTTATATTTTTTTAAAACTCCCTATTTTATAGCTTTAAAATGTTTTTAAAAAGTTTAAATTCGATTAGGCCGGATTTGACCCATGCGAAAAAATAAATAAGGGTGGATTTTGTCCTTTGGGACCCTAATGAATATTTCTATAAAATTTGAGCAAAATCCAAGATGGTCGAGCAACGAGTTTTGGCGTTTTCATATGGATTGACTCATCTACGATTTTCAATGGCGTTAAGTTATGTGTTTGTAGTGTTTTTATTGTGATTAAATAAAAAAATTAAATCCAAAACTCAAAATGGTGGACCTCAAATGGCGGACATTTTTATCAAAAAATTGTCGAAATTAATTAAAAACCCGTAAGAGGTTCTTTTTAAAATATAAATAAAACATCTTTTTATAAAATAGCTTAATTTAGTTTATTATAATTACATTTATATGATATTATTTAATACCTACATATATATTAAACAATCTCTGACACTGGATTCGCTCGTTGTATCATCAGAAAATTGCAACAGTTTTATTGCTTCGCGGGACAAAGATTTGTCAACACAAATAACCACAATTCAAATTTGACATTAACACACTACAATGCGCATGCGGAGTTGTTTTAACGAACCTACAAGAGGTGGGTAAAATATATTTAACATATACATATGTATAATCCGTGTTAAATATCTTGGTAGTCACGAACGATTTACGCAAGTGAAAGTCTAGACACCGCTGTTGTAATAAACGTTTTAAGATAAATTCGATTAAAAAAAAAAATTTTTTATTTTGTAAAGCAAAAACACAGATACGCGCGCGACATAGGCTTAAAGTCGCGAGGTTTTTTACCACAACCGTGCCTGAGCGCCCAAGAACATGTAGTTTTAAAGAGCCGGGGGCGAGTTGGGGCAGATAATTTATTGATGGCTTGATAGACAAAACTCTAAGCAATTCAACGGATCTTGAACTGATGCCTTACAATTCATTACAATTTTTGTAGCTCCATTGTTCTAAAAGCTCGATTCAAAGTTTGCGATTTTAACAGACCGATCTTGTCGGTTACAATAACCCGTTGTACAAGCAAAATCTACGAAAAACAAATACATATCTGAATTTTACATACCTTGAAGATCACCCTTCGTCAAACCTCATAACAATCGGTCACACCAAACACAAGTTATTCACTTTTAAACAATAAACAATTTTCCGCAGCGATCGCGTGTAAAGTACTTTCAACTGAAAGCGTCAAGTTTAAACTGATGTACAAGACAAAATATATGTATTTTATATAATTTTTTTAACACAGGATGGAGACAGGTATTAACTACCCATCTAACTCAAAATTTACCTGAAAAAAAATGTAAATTTTTGAGGTTTTGCCGATATTTTCGAGAATTGAAACACTGCGCCCCCAAAAGGTTGCGCCCCGGGGCTATAGCCGATTTACCCCTGTGGTTAGGGTGGCCCTGAATGTATCACTAAATGAAGTATTTGATTGAGTGTTGAACATTCTTTCATTTAAAAAATAGCACTAAACAAAAACAAAATATTCCAAATTCTAACCTTACAAAGAATATGACAGTTACCAACGCGCATGCATTAAATTCGACTCGGAAAGTTATTGTGAATGGTAAATTTCGTGCCGACTTGCGTCCCAAAGTGTCACTCGGCCAATGAATTCATTACGAAGCTTTAGTGTATGGTCTATCGTAAATAGCTTTTTTCTACTCCCACCTTTAAAACGCCCTTTATCCAGGCCCGTTCCTGGGGTGTCTGGCGCCTACGTGCAGCATTCTTTGGTGCGCCGCTTTTATATTTTATTTTATTTATTTATATTTTAAATTTAAGCCCTAAAATTTAAAAAATATAAATTTTGCGACAAACTGGTATTATGTAATTGAAATTGTAAAAAACTGCTTATTAAATTACCAAACAAACAAAATCACAAAAAATATTTAGTAATAAAAATACTCTAAAGAAAACAAAAAAACATATAAACAATATAATAACTACAAGTGGTTTTTAGTAACGTACTCTCTAAAAATGAATTACCTAGTCAAAAATTACTAGTTTTCAAAGTGAAAAAGCAGTCAATAATAACTGTAGTCCACAGCAATTTGTATCCCGGACATTTAACAGCTTATTATTATGTAACTTGTCCCCTGAATCCGAAAAGACCTTCAACAATTATGGAAGTAGAGCAGTTTTTGAAATATATTTAATTCTATATTATATGAAAAATTGACTATATCTCAAAAACTGTTCAACTTTTATAAGTAACTTTTGACGAAATTTTCGGATTTAGCGGACAATTTTAAATACGAGTTGACTGCTAAATGTCCGTTATACAAATTGCTGTTGACGATAATTATTATTCATTTTTAGTAAGCTCGTTACCAAGTCATGCACTGTGTAGAGAACTGTTAAATTTTGCTACCGTCAACTGCAACTATCAAACAAATACTAAAAATATTATTACAATTTCTCTCTTTTTATTTTGATACTCATATAAAAAAATTAAGCCGCCAATATCAAAGCGGCACCTTTAAAACGCCCTTTATCGTACATGATTCCATGACACTAAGTGACCTTTTAAATACACATTGACAAGTTGTGGCTTTATGGCGCTTTAGTCACGGGCTGAAGTTAGTTTTAAGTTGGTTGACATTTGTCAAATGTCATACAATCGTTAAAATAAAGTGCCTTTCTTGTAAAATAATACTAAATGTGAAAATTATTTTATTATCTCAATACAAAAATACAAAAGTATTAAATAGTTTCTCAACGCCAATATCTGAAAAGTTTACATGAACATTACACTGACCTTTTAATTTCGCCGGCAGTAAACTATAACTTTAATTCGGGCACGGACTCTACTGTAAAGTCCTCATAAAACATTTTCTTTACTTTCACTGTGAAAAACTGTCAATTTTCAAGAAATACATTTCGATTTATAACCTTTATAATTGTGTTTATAAAATAAAAAAATGTGACATTTGACGGTGACACAAAGTTTCCCCTATTGTTTCATAGATGGCGCTCTACAAATTTTTTATTTAAATCATTTTAAGATAATAATAAGTATTTGTCGTAGAAAAAGTATGGTATGAACCTCGTTTATAAACTTTCTATACACTCATTAATTTAAGCACTCGCTCGCAAGCTCGCTCGTGCCTAAATTAAATTCGTGTATAAAATGGCGTTAATCAAACTTGATACATAATAATATTATATATATTATACTATTAAAGTATCTGTCAAGTGACGTCACAAAATGGCGATTTAAGGTTAACACGTTTATTTTCCCTTACAGGCATGTAATAGTGAATCAAAGCAGATCAAAAATCAAACAATTAACCGTATATTCTTCGTTTTTGTATTGGGTCGACGATTCCCAGGAATTACAGAGACTAGAATTAATTTCGGAAAAATCCTCGACCCCGTTACAAATCCAAGTGCCGCACATAACAGGTTTAATATCTGTACGTAACCCCGAAAAAAATCACAGTTGTTTTATGGCGCATCAAAAGAAATGCTCCCATTTCTGCATAATGGACGGAAAAAACCCTGTCTGCGCGTGCCCGAATGGCAAAAAGCTGCAAGACGACAAACGCACGTGCGTAGTTTTACCGAACTGCGGTAAAGATCGGTTTACGTGCACCAGCCAGTACGGCGACCCTAAGGAGTGCATACCCTTATCGTGGCGATGCGATAAACAAGAAGATTGCAGAGATGGTTCAGACGAGTTGGATTGTCCGCCATGTAAGGCGAATCAGTTCAGATGTCAAGATGGTTTGTGCATCGAAAATAAACAGCTTTGCGATGGGTATCACCATTGCGTGGACAAATCAGACGAGATGAATTGCTGCAAAGGATTTAAGTGTCCTCATACTGAGGTAGGAAATTATAACTTTAAAATACTGTTTTCATTGCATGATTTTTTAGGTTTGTCTGGAAAAAGCTCTGGTTTGCGATGGAATGGACCACTGTGCCGATGGTGCAGACGAAAATCCTGCTTTGTGCATCAAAACTTCGAAAACCAACACAGTTTGGTTTTTGGTTTTCGTCGGGATCGTTTTCTTTTTCGTTCTCACCTCCGTTATCATGTACTTTCAAAGAAAAAACAAGACGCACGAGGAACATCCCGACCAATCCGAAGACTCGCTGAGTCCGATGCATCCCGGATCTCAGAGCAAAATACAGAAGTTTAGAAAAGGTAAGGATTCCATATTTGCAGCCTTAATTCTGCTGTCCCACAATAGAGTTTGTTGTAATATACTAGAAGTTAGAGTCCCCATAGGAACTCTAGTAGAAGTACCTTTTTGCATACAACCAGAGCTGTCGCAATTACTCTTAAAAAGTAATTGAATTACAATTACCAATTATTTTGGTACAAAGATATAAAACACCAATTACCACACATTAATAAATGTAGTTCAATTACCAATTACCATGAAAAATAATTGAATTACTTTTAACTAATTGAATTACATTTTAGTAAGAATTACTTTTTAGTAATTAAATAACTTTTGAATAATTACATTACTTTTTAGTTAGTTTAGGTAATAATTTAATTTTTATGGAAGTAAATTAATTATAGTTTAGTAAGTTTAAAGAAAACATTCCTATTTATAACCTTATTTAATTAAAAAATCACAAATTTAACAGTAAAGCAAAAAAAATAAATAATATTAAATTTTTTTTAAATTTGACTTTATGATAACTATCTCTTCAAAATGTTTATCCGAAAGAGCATGCCTTCTAGGGCTATTTATTATTTTACCAGAAGAAAGCAGCCTTTCAACTGGAGCCGAGGACGGTAAACATGTATTAAATCTAAAAAAAAACGGATATACATTTAACGATTCAAATTAAGATACTGCAAAATCTCCAACTCAATCTTCTTTTTAAGTTTTTGGTTACATGGTTCAACCTGTCTCTGAGAAGCATTAATATGTAATTCAAAAATAGTATTTTCATTGGAGAGTTTGTTGTATTCTTCTCGCTTAACTTAAAAAAGCATATCACTGCGCCCGAACTCGTGCACATAGGACATACTCCCGCCGGAAGGTTGAAAAGAAATTTTTATAAACCTTTTTTGAAATGCACAATTTATACTATGAATGTCACATAAATTCGTGTACATTAGGGTGTCCGTTATTTAACAACTTGTATTTTTTGTTCGCAGCGCCCCCTAAATTTTTAGTTTATGACCTAAAAAAAATATTCATATTAAACTGTGCCACAAAGTCGATACATTTTCCATTTAAATGGGGTTTTGGCAAGTTTTACATTTAATTTTTTTTCTCCCGAGCAAGTTAATATACAGCAATAAGAGACACATATTTTTATAGGAAATTGAACGCTGTACAAAAAAGCTTTTCTATGATTTTTTCATAGATTCACTGATTTAAAAGTTATTTAAGGTTCAAGATAAACTTATCGTAATTTTTTAGATTTTTTTACTGCAAAATTATAATTATTTTTTATGAAATTGAATTGTTTATTTTTAAAAATATGTGATTTTATTGTATTATTGAACAAATAAAAATTATTGAAAACAGATAAGTAAAAATTATTAATAAATAAATAAATAAACTTTATTTACGGCACAAGGCCATGAGTATAATTACAAAATATTACAGCATACAGAACATAAAAAATGTATAAAATATAGTTATATATATATATATATATATATATATATAAATTAAAAAAAAAATATATATATATATATATATATATATATATAAATTAAAAAAAATAAAGTAAGACAAAAATAAATAGTACATAAATAAATAAATGTCCATAAAAAATAACAGTTAACAAATAAATACCATTGAATTCAAATTCGTACCAATGCTTAGATCCCAGCTGAATTTATTTTTAATTGAAGATGTTTTTTAAAAGTATGAAGTGTGCTGACAAAAAATTCAATATTAACTACGTTTGCAAGTCTGCATGCACGATCCAATGGAGTATTGTATGAATAATTTGTACTATGTGAGTTTGTGTAAAATAAAGTATTCAGTCGGTTTACTCTTAGAGGTGCATGTAATCTAATATCGGCCAGAAGTGAGGAGCTATCAATTAAATTATTTAGAATTTTGTACAGAAATAATATGTCATTTTCCTGTCTTCTAGTTATTAATGAGGGTAAATTTAGTATTAGCCTTATGTCACATATGTCCGCTGGAATTGGAAAAATATTTAATTTATAAGCACAAGTTCTTAAGAATTTATTTTGGACTCTTTCAATTCGATTGATATGGATGTTATAGTAAGGTGACCAGATGATACTATTAAATTCCAGGATAGATCTAATGTAACTTATACAGGGTGTCCGGGAAAAGGAGGTCAATCCGTTAACCATATATTCCTTGAGTTAAAACAATAAGACTTTCCTAATACCATTTTTCAATTTAGAGCTCCATGTTCGATATACAGGGCGACAAAGTTTGAATTTTAAAACTGATTTTTTTTAATAACTCGAGTAATTGATAAGATACTAAGTTAAAATTCGGTACACTACTTAAACATAAATAGTTACATTTTTTGAGACCAACAAAACAAAAAACAATTGTCAAATAATCAAAATAGGGGGGTCCAGTACTCATTGACTCCCCCTATTTTTTAGTACGTGCGCCAATGACTTCCAAACGGTATTTTTTCAGGTAATCATTTATTGTTAAAAAAATTTTGTCTCTTATAAAATTTTGATAAAATGATTTGTTTTAGAGATAATTTGTAAAGTATGGGTCACCCAAGTAACAATTTAGGTTTTATTAGGTAATACAGGAAAGCTTTAAAACCCTTTTTTCTGGATATTGATAAAACCTAAGTATCCGCAAGATAGTCATAGGACTGCTTTAAGTCTCTTTTAAGTATAAAAGGGAGAATCCTATGAAGGTTCTTAGGAGTAAATTTTAAGAATTAGTTAAAACAATTTGGCTTTAAGCAAAACAGTCCGGTGAGTATTTTTAAACCATCCATAAAACTAAATAACATAACCCTTAATATTTTTAAATAAGACCGAAATGTCCTCACAAAGTCAACAATAAGACTCATTGATTTAATATAGTTTTAAAGGAGTAAATTTTTATTGTCATTTATTTTAATATTGTTTTAACAAAGTTTTAATAATATTTACATTGGTAGTGGGTCTACCGAATTAAAAATGGATCCCACTAACTGCAAAAATGCAAACGCCATGTTTTCCGATACGTAATGAGTTATTGATAAATATATTTGGCTTTAGTGCAGGGTTTCACGCTTATAATTTCCCAACGAACACCGGTTTTTTGTTAAAGGTAACTGAGATAGCTCTTAATTTTTAACAGGCCACATAAAAACTTAAGTGAAATGAAAATAAGGAAAATTAACCTAAAATATAATATACCTACATTAACAAAAAAATGTGTTTTTACTTGCATAGCCAATAACATAATAGAAATAAGATGATGTTTATTACGTTTTAAGCTGTTATTAATGAAAATACAGAGATATTTTTATGAGTTTATAAGGAAAATGCCATTGTGGTTAAGATACCGTACCTAAGGACATAGATAATATTGCGGATCATAATGCTATAGGTTTGGAGTCATAAAAACAAAAAACATTTTGAAAGTGCGAATATTGTAATTTTGTTAAACTTCTTGTGAATAAATACGTAAAACTTTAATATTTATTAATTAATATTCGTCTTCATGAAAGTTGGTATCTTATACACTTCCACATTTAAAATGGTTCCCGTCGTGAAAAATTCTTTGCCAGTGCAGTGTTGCCGCTTGTGGGTATTTTACCAGAAAATCGGGAAATTTCGTCATACTTGTATTGCCAAAAAGTTAATCTGATTATTAAAAATTTTGATGGTTACGTTAATTACGATTAAAATATTTTGATTGGTGCATCATGCAATTGAAGTCCGTAATTCAAAAAGGTGTTACTCAATATTTGTTATTGTGAGATAAATAGGCTTATGCAGAGTTTTTAAATTGTAATTTTTTTTTAAATAGGGCGAATGTGCCAAAAATTTTTAAAAGAAAACTATTTTTTTAGTCTTGTGGGTAAAATCGGGTAATTTGTAATTTTTGTTCGAAAACTACTGAAATTCATCTGGCAACACTGGTTAGTAAATAAAACCGGATAAAACCAACTTGCATTTCTTATAACTTTTTTGTCGTATGGTACTCCTCTTTACGCCAAAAAATACTTCTTTAAGGCAGATTTATCCTAATAATATCCGCTTTAAAACACTTTGGTATAGATTTAATGTTTTATAAAACCTATTAAACGTTTTTGGTATAAAATGGCGATATTTAGGATAACATTGAAATTTTTAATGCCTAATAGCAATAAAAACAGATGTTTTAAAACAATTTGGCTTTAATATTTTCTTCCATAAAACTTACAAAATGGGCAACCAGCATTGCATGATGTAATGGGGATTTTATTTTGTGTCGGCCGGTTCTGTTTTTCCAAAAATGCCGTTCAAAATTGTTCAAACAATTGATGTGACTTTATGGCGTTTTAGTCACAGGATAAAGTTGGCAATAGTGACTTTTGGGCATTTTAGGCACGGGCTGAAGTTAGCTTTATTATAAATTACGGAAAAAATTGGCTTTAAATTCTTCTTTGTGTTCGTCGTAGATAAAGTAGTATGCAACTCGTTTTATAAACTTCTCTAGACCCTCGCTTCGCTCGTGCCTAATAAAACTTGATACATAATATACTATTAAATGTGATTCCAATTACCACTGTTTTAATTTTTGTCTAACAACATCGACATCATGCACATTGCACAAGCATGCCAATCAACAATACAACAAAAAAATAAGGTTACCTTGCTAAAAAAGTTATAGGTACCTATTTATATACATACCCTTAAAATTGTTATAAGTTTAGTAACTTTACAGACCAACAGTTTTAAAGGGCCCAAAAATTTGTCTAAAAGGTTCTCAGTGTAAAACGGTTTAAAGTGTAATCCTAAAACACTTCATAAAACTTAATTTAAAAACAATCATAGGATATAAGCCTTTTTTATGGCTGCTTTAAAACCATATACTCCTTAAGAGCACTATATATAGTGCTCTATAGAACCAAAGAGTTTTAAAATAGCATATTAATTAATGCACATAAAACCGTATTAAAACAAACTTAATTTTAAAACAAAACAGTTTTATCATATAGTTTTAAAATATTCTATAAAACATTTCTTTAAGAGTATTTTATCCTGCAGTCTCATTAGAAAAATATATTGCCTTAATAAAACAGCGTCTCTTTTTTGTGCAACAATAAAACCATATTAAAACCATTATTAAAACTACCTTTCTTAAAAAATGTTACTTGGGCAGTCCATATCAAATCAACCAAAGGTTCTTCCCCCACCATCTCCGATTTTGATCATTTTTGGTAAATTTGTTTACCTCACTAAAAAACTCAAAAATCCCATATATGAACTTTTTTCGATAGGTGGTTTTTGTTTTATTGATTTTTGAAAATCAAAAAATTCCGATAAATTTGGGTCTTGCAAGTAGTTACAAAAATAGCGATATCTCGTAAACTATTAAAAGTAGAAAGGTGAGTGATGGCTTATTTTAAAGGCCTATTAGAGAACTTTTTTATGATATATCACATGACCTACATTTTTTCAAAAAAAAAAAATTAAATTTTGAAAATTTGATATGGACTGACCCATACTTTACAAATTATCTCTAAAACAAATCATTTTATCAAAATTTTATAGGATACAAAAAATTTTCAACAATAAATGATTACCTGAAAAAATTCCGTTTGGAAGTCATTGGCGCACGTACTAAAAAATAGGGGGAGTCAGTGAGTACTGGACCCCCCTATTTTGATTATTTGACAATTGTTTTTTGTTTTGTTGGTCTCAAAAAATGTAACTATTTATGTTGAAGTAGTGTACCGAATTTAAACTTAGTATCTTATCAATTACTCGAATTATTTAAAAAAAACAGTTTTTAATTTCAAACTTTGTCGCCCTGTATATCGAACATGAAGCTCTAAATTGAAAAATGGTATTATGAAAGTCTTATTGTTTTAACTCAAGGAATATATGGTTAACGGATTGACCTCCTTTTCCCGGACACCCTGTATATACCGTTTTCAGACACGAAATATCAAAATCTTTTAATTGCCGATTTACAAACCCCAACATACGGTATGATCTGTTTATGATTACATTTATATGATCATTAAAGGTAAGTTTATTGTCAAAAATTATACCCAGATCTTTGATTTTGGATACATTTTCAAGAGGATTATCCTTAATTTTGTATACATAACAAATTTTATTTCTTTTCCTGGTAAAATTTATAGATTTGCATTTAGTAGTATTTAGGGTCATTTTATTTTCATCGCACCAGTGTTGTAACCGATTTAGGTCATCTTGTAATTTTTTACAATCGTATTGAGTATTTATTATTTTAAATAACTTAAGGTCGTCTGCAAACATTAAGCAGTAACTGTGTTGAAAGCATGAGACTATATCATTTATAAAGCAGTTAAATAGTAAAGGTGACAAATGACCTCCTTGAGATTCCAATAAATTCAATTTTTTTATTACATTAAACGAATCTGGTACTGGTTTTCCTAAATTTTAGTACGATTACTTTTTAAAAAATCGTATAAAATTTTGTAAAATTTCACATAAATAAAAAGATTATGTAAAAAAAGTGATCGTACTAAATTTGAGTAAAACTAGTACCAGATTCTTTTAATGTAATAAAAAAATTTTAATTTATCGGAATCTCTTGTCAATAATTTTCACTTATATCTTTTCAATAATTTTTTCTTTTTCAATAATACAATAAAATCACATATTTTCAAAAATAATGATAATTTTGCAGTCAAAGTAAAAAAATCGAAAAAATTAGTATAAATTCAATTTTCACCGTTAATAACTTTTAAACCAGTGGATTTATCAAAAAATTATAAGACAGCGTTCAATTTCCAATAAAAATATGTATCACTTATTGCTGTATATTAACTTGCTTGGAAGAAAAAGAAATAAATGTAAAACTTGCCGAAACCCCATGTTATTTAAATGGAAAATGTATCGTCTTTGTGGCACGGTTTAATATGAATATTTTTTTTTATAATTTTGTTAGGTCATAAAAAAAACCAAGTTGGTAAATAGGTAACGGACCAACATGTAAATAGGATAAAATTTGTTTTCGCATTTAAGACGACTTAAACTCATAAAATACATACAATACATTTAATGTACCCACTCGTAAAATATTTTTAAAGCCCTTGCAAAAATACTCTTCTAAAATCTAGACCTTCTCAGAATAATTCATTTCAACGTTTTTTTCTTTATATTATTACAAAATTGTTTTGTACAAGCAAAATTGTTAAAATCAATTGAAGGGATTAGAATAAAAAGGGGATAAGTAACATTTTCATTGTTTGGAGATATTTGAAGTTAAAGTTATGTTATCATAAAAAAGTGAAGAATTTTGTTTAGTAATGTTTTTCTACTGGATAATAGAGGTCGCTAGAAGTATGAAAATTACTTAAATCCTTTTCATTTCGATACGTCGGAACCTTATCTTTCACAAAACGAACTTATCTCCTAAATTAAAGAAATTGCACTTATACCCTTTCTATTCTAACCCCTTCAATTATCAGTTACAATCACATTTTTTCAGTAATTTAAAATCAATTACAATTACCATTTTTTCTCAGTAATTGAATTAAAGTAATTCAATTACAACCAGTAATTCAATTACAATGTTTCAATTATTTAAATTCAGTTACCATCAGCTATGCATACAACTCATAGAGACGCATTAAAAGCTACAGTTTCTGCAAAAAAATATTTTCTTTTTTTCAGGAATTCCAGACGTGGTGCGCATGTCGATGCTGAACGGCGGTAGCCAATCGTCGACATACGACCGACGCCACGTGACGGGCGCGTCTAGCAGCTCCAACACCAACAACTCCAGCGTGGCTTGCTACCCGCGCGAAACCCTAAACCCGCCGCCGAGCCCCGCCACAACTGCCGCCTCCACGCGCGGCAGCTCGCCCTCGTCGCGCTACCGCCCCTACAAGCACTACAGATCGATCAATCAGCCGCCGCCCCCCACTCCCGTCTCCACGGATATCTGCGACGAAAGCGATTACAATTACCCCACCAGGGGGCGGTACGATGGCGCGCCGTTCCCGCCGCCACCGACGCCCTCTAGGAGTCACTGTCAGAACGAGAGTTGCCCGCCTTCGCCGTGTTCGAGGTCGTCCACGTATTTCAGCCCTTTACCGCCGCCCCCGTCGCCGGTGGCGTCGCCTAGGGGCGGCTACGATTCTTAGGAGGAAAGTTAAGGGGGCTATGATAAACATCACAAAATAAGAAAATATTTTCCAAGGTAAGTACAGTTTCTGCAAAGATACACTCTTGGACAAGTTTTAAAAAAATACGGAATTTTAAAAACTAAACTACTTATTTTTAGATGTTTTGTAGAACTCCCCCTTAAGATCTCAGGGATATTTATTTAGAACCTCACAGGTTCACTTCTGTACTCAAGTAGTAAACAACCTATAATTTTCTTTTAATTTTACGAATTATATCATGACTAGACAACCCATACAACTAGACACCTTAGTCAGGTGATTTCTTGATGTTGCTACTTGTTGTCATCTTGTTCTTCTAAGATTGAGTAATATCATGATTGAAAAATGTCAATTATACTAAAATTATTATAATTTTAAGCCCCTAAATACACAGGCAGGTATTTACAATTTGCATATTGATAGAGGCATTAATACTTAAATTTTTATTATCGAAAATTTTAGTACAGCAAAAAAATTGTGCAATCGGTTATGTTTTTCTATGTTGTATAAATCAAATACTATTTATTCAAATTTGGCCTTATGTAATACATAGATATTAAAATTCACGTTGTGCCTACATTCTATTAAAAAAAAACTAATAAAACTGTATATACATGTTATTTTAGAGGTAGTTTTTATACTGTTAACTAATAAATTATACTGAAGTATTCTTTTAACAAAGACTTTTATTTTCTGCCTTAAGAACATTAAAAGTAATGTAAACAATAAATAGAGGGGAAAGAGGCGGTCAGATTCAAATGCCACATCACTTTTTGTCCGATTGGCAGTTACGGTTTGGGAGTAATTAACGTTTTTGTAAAAAAGATCGCAGAACAAGAAATATTTTTTTTGACGGATCAATTTAAATCAGCTTTTTAACTATTTTGGTTAAAAAATATTCAAATTCATTTGATTAAACAAATTTAAATTTATTTAATTTACAAAAATTAACCCTCTTGGTCCAAATTGTTTGTGACTTTATTTGTCAAGCATTACAAGCTTAAGAATTCAGTTATATTACCTGCCATAAGGAACCCAAAAAGAATACCTGATTCCATAGCAGGTACAATAGTAGAAAATAAAAGTATTCAACAAATATTATATAAAAACACTAAATGTCGCTTGTATTCCTTTGCTTCTAGGGTCCCAAATAAAAATTGTAATGAAATCACATACTTCCATCTTATTCGCATAGTTGGTTCATAAGTGGGGGATTTAAAATCATATATCATAGACATATTAATATGTTAGGCTGGGTTTTTATTTGACCGATGTCGGTATTTTAATAGTGCTGCCCCCTCATTTCTTTAAAAAATATATAAACAAAATGTATGACAAATTTCAATGTCCTAACTTGTTTCCGTCTATTGCCTGTTACAACGAGAAGTTTTCCAGATAGAGGATTTTTGCCTTTAAAGTATACATTTACTAATAATCCACAGGTATAATTTTTTGAGAAAATGTGGAGGCGGTAAATTACTTTCAAACCAAAAAAAAAGAAATCATGTATTTTCATCCTAAGGTCTTTTTTACTTTGCTCAATTATTACTTTCAGTTTTCCTTATAGAGGAATTTTGATTTATAACGTAATAATTTTTTTAAATCATTAATAATTAATAAAAAAATTCTAATTTTTTTGGAGGAAATGAGGGAAAAATAACGTATTAAAAATAAAAGAATTTATGTATGTCCAATGGACATTGTCCATCCTAAGGTCTTTTTTACTTTGCTTAATTATCACTATTATTATTTCATTGAAAATGGCATACAAAAATCATATCAGTGATGATTTGTATATGATAATGCAACAACATGTTCAAGAAGATATTGGAAAGATATTTACGAAATGACATTGGGCATATATTTTTGAATAGACATTAAACAGCCCAGACAGCAATATGACGTCTTAATGAAGTCTGCATAAGCTCTATTTTATGATTTGAACGTCAAATACAACACATCAGAAAGAAGTTTTTAAGAAGTTCTTAAGACTTCGAATGCGCCACCTAATCAACTAATCAAGACTTCTCAAAAAAGAACTCATGAGGAACCCTTTTCTTTGACTTCGCAATTAAGCATTTTAAAGAGTCCTACTGTATATAGACCAGGGTCGATAATTTTTGAAACCAAAAAAAATAACAGTAGGATGAAACCCATTGGAAAAGGAGAAGAATATAATAAAAATGAAAGGAAAAATAAATTACGGGCGATCTGACTTCGGGAAGTGGGAGGGGGGGGGTTTTAAGGGTAAAAAATGGTTTATCTCGATTTCCGGCAAAACTACAAGTCCTATGGAAAAAAGTTAAATGGCCAAGTTGTAGGTAATAAAAAGATCTACAACTTTTGTATTTACAATTTTTTCACATAACCTCAAAATTTATGTGAAAAATTCAAAAAACCAAGTTTTTGGTTTTTTATTTTTATCTTTTTCAAAAAAAAATTTTTTTCCACGAAATTTGGGGAAAACTTACCTTTTTATGTCCCAAATACACTGTAATTTATTTGATTTAAAATATTTATTATTTCGCCTTATTTTGACTTAATATCAAAAAAGCACCCTAATTTTCAATCGAAAATTCTCGCGTCAAAATATCAGCTTTTTTCAAAAAGTCGGTGTGCTTTTTGTTCGTTGAAATCTCTACTTTCTGATGGTGTAAAAAAAATATACATTACTATGGTAAATGTTCTCAGAAAATGCAAAAAATATTATAATGAATAACGAAAAAAACTCGAATTCGAAAATTTATTTTAATCATTATGTACAATTTCATCAAAAAAATGTGATTGTTGCAATTTTTTTTAGTTAAAAAGTTTATTTATTAAATTCTAATAACATTTATGTCAGAAAATCTCATAAAATATAAAAATACAGGTAAATCATACTATTGAATTTAGATACTTCATTCTGATTACGTTATTCATTATAATATTTTTTGCATTTTCTGAGAACATTTACCATAGTAATGTATATTTTTTTTACACCATCAGAAAGTAGAGAGTTCATCGAAAAAAAAGCACACCGACTTTTTGAAAAAAGCTGATATTTTGACGCGAGAATTTTCGATTGAAAATTAGGGTGCTTTTTTGATATTAAGTCAAAATAAGGCGAAATAATAAATATTTCAAATCAAAAAAATTACAGTGTATTTGGGACATAAAAAGGTAAGTTTTCACCAAATTTCGTGGAAAAAAATTTTTTTTTGAAAAAGATAAAAACAAAAAACCAAAAACTTGGTTTTTTGAATTTTTCACATAAATTTTGAGGTTATGTGAAAAAATTGTAAATACAAAAGTTGTAGAACTTTTTATTACCTACAACTTTGACATTTAACTTTTTTCCATAGGATTTGTAGTTTTGCCGGAAATCGAGATAAACCATTTTTTACCCTTAAAACCCCCCTCCCACTTCCCGAACTCAGATCGCCCGTAATTTATTTTTCCTTTAATTTTTATTATATTCCCCTCCTTTTCCAATGGGTTTTATCGTACTGTTATTTTTTTTTCTCTTTTTACCATTTTTAAAGGCTTCTGCACTGGTCTAATAAACTTATAAAAAGACTTCTTTAGAATTTTCCGTTTTGGATATAGAAGTTCTACTAGGGTACTGATGAAGAAATTGCATACTGGATCGTTGCTTATTTTGACATGTCAAGTTTATTTTATTAATTTTATTAATTTGTTAAATTGATTTTATTAAAATCATTTTAATAATTTGCTCGTATTCGCTTATTTTAGGAATTGCGATTACTTCGTTTCACTTTTGTTTAAATTCAAGCGTGCTCTTCACCGGCACCGATAGACGGCCTGTTTCGCTCTTTTGGAGCTCGTCAGTATCGGGGAGCCGTTTACCTAGGTCTAAGACCGTTTGGTATGGAGCACGCTCTAAATTCTACTTCGCCGCTTCTTATATCAAACACAAGCAGTTACAGCGGTGAGAAGAAAGTAATTGCATTAAAATGTCATAAATTTGACGTCTCCATGTTGACTTCTAAAAGAGTTAATAGTATGATTTCAATTGGAAGTAAGAAAAAAGAATACTCTTTAAGGTCAAAATAAATTGTTCAAGAAAAGATCTTCATTTGTAGGTAAAAAAATTGACTTCTTATTTATGAGTTCATTAACAGCTCAGAATTCTGAGCTCATAAAAAGGAGCTGTTTAAGACGTCATGTTAGAACTTCTACACGAAGTTGTTTAAAAGACTTCCTACTGAAATCTTTCTGAATTGGATGCTGACTGGGAGGTGTATTAATTATATTTCCGTAAATATCCTTTGGCAACAGCTCTGCAGGCAAGGGAATTTCGGAACATTTTTCATTGGTGTTTGACAGGCATCATTACACGTTGAGTTGTGCCTGCCTAATATCGAAAAAGCGTTTCTCTGAAAATATAAAAAATATTATATATATTTTATTATAATACAATGGATTTGTGTTGAGCTTTTCATTTTTTAGTTCGACAATTAGGAAGTCCTTACTCATGTTTAAGTGAAATATTATCCTGTAAAATTGTTATTTCTGCCATAAAAACATTTGCTTGAGAAAAAATAATAAGTTAATGAATTTTATTATACTTACTGGATGATTTTGACACCAACAACTTGCAGGAATATATGGATGGTGGGCGATATGAAATTAATCATAATTATGTGAGGACGTTCAAAAATGTTGCTTAATCTATGGCAAGATGTGGACTCGATATCTTTTCGGAAATAATCTAAAGATATTTTCAAAAGATATTAAGTAGACAGCTAGTAAATGTTTGAGAGTTCAGAAACCGGAAATAGTATATGCGTGCTCATTTATATTTTTAATATCCGATAAAAGATATTCGTAGTTTGTCTTTGAAAAGATATTCATACCTTGTCTTTGATAATATGAATGTCCTGATAAGATGTGACTTGTCGAGTAGAAAATAATCTTTTACCTATGTCTCAAATATATGAGTAAAGGTATGAACAAAAGGGTAATAAAAAACTATTTCCAATATAGGTCAAAAAATATTCAGACTTTGTTCTTAAACAGATATTTATAAGATGCGTCTTATCTACCAAAAATTATTTTTTACATGTTCTCTTTATATAGGTAAAGACTTGTCTGGTAAAAATAATCTTTTACATATTTCTCAAATATATAAATAGGTATATATATATATATAATATATAGGGTAAGGTGGGGCAGGTTCGGACACGTTTTTTCAAAAATTAATATTTCAAAGATAACAAATTTTTTTAGACTTAATGCAAATACTACGGATAGCTTAGTCTATTTCCAACATTTTAGCATTATCTTAAGCAAAAAATATTAAGTGGTTTTCGTTTGGTGATATTTTACTTAAAAAAATGCATTTGTCCGAATCTGCCCCATATTGGGGCACATTCGGACAAGTAGTGGGGTACTTTCGGACAGGCCTGAGAAAATTTAGAACCTATTTATTTTTAGAATGAATAAGAGACTATATTAGAAAAAGTTTATTAAACATTATAACCATCAAAATTGACATTAAATTTAAAGAGCGAACACATCCTTGAAGTTCCTTGTGCTGCCTCTGGTGCTGCTTCGGTATTTTCGAAACTATATCTTCTCTGGAAACAGTCGAAATATCTTGCAAGTTCGGAAAGCGGAAACCGCTTTAATACTTCCTCAAAAAATTTAAGACGTAAGAGCCTTCATTATTGCAAGATTCTACCTTGCCGATATAATGAAGTGTCCTTCTGTTGGTCGGGTATTTGACAAGCAAATAATCATGACAATGGATCACGTCATCATGCAATAGCATGAGCACATCGTCATTGTCTTGAAACTCTTCCAGAGAATCGGAATCAAAAATTTTTGTCTCATGAATGCACAATATTCTGTGGTAAATCTATATCAGAATCCGAGGAGTCACTTTCTATTTTTTTTAACTTTTTCTTCGGCGCCTTTCCTTTGCTCTTCTCCCCAACTTTTGTATCATTTTTCTTCACTTCACATTCGCTTTGTAATGCTTTTCTTTTCGTGTTTTTTTTCTCCAACTTTTGTTTTCTTATTGTTTCCAATTCTTGAATTCTTTCCTTTTCCGGTGTGCTTGTATAAATTCTGGATTTACCTTTTTTCTTTTTAAATTAGTTACGTACCATCCCAGAAAGTTAAATCAATCAAAACTGGGTTTTATTTGTAAAATGGGGCACATTCGGACAGTCCGAAGCTGCCCCACCCGATTTGTCCGAACGTGCCCCATGTTCCAGAAATACATAGATATCAAAATAAAAATTTGCACATGGTTAACTGATGCTGTTTTATGAGGTTATGTATCGCCAAAGATACTAATATCTGCGGTAAAAGGTATAAAACTTACCTTACTGGTGTTCTCAAGCCAAGAAAGCTTACGATAGCCCTAATAAAATTTATAAGAATAACTATGTTTTTATATTTTCTCAAATAAATAGTTGTCGAGTGATCAAAGTCGCTAAACATGTACGGACCACAGAACTATTAGTGTAGAAGGATATTTACTGTCAATATGGAAACTCTCGTAGCACTTTAAGGCGGTAAATTTGATTTGTCCGGAGGTGCCCCATGTCCGAACCTACCCCACCTTACCCTATGTATATTATATGAGTAAAGATATGAACAAAAAGATAATAAAAAAACATATTGCCAATATCGGTCAAAAAATATTCAGACTTTGTTCTTAAACAGATATTTATCAGATGAGTCTTATCTAACAAAAATTATCTTTTAGATGTTTCCTTGATTTAATGGTAAAGATATTCGGGAAAAGGTATATTTTAAATATCTCATTTAAAACCTCTACAAATATATAGGCAAATATCTTTTATCTTTCGTCGGCCATTGCAAATATATTTATTTTCACAAGGGAGAAAACAATAAATTTAAAATTCGCAATAAAATTACACATACTTCCACAGGAAATGAACATATACTTACTGTGGTAAGTATATGGAAATGAAAAATAGTAGTAGCATCTATTGGCGAAACCCAAAAGGGTAAATATTCTATTTACAGTTTCCTGTAATTACAAAACATAGTAGACTACGTAAATAACAGATGGCGGTGTTTAAATTCAGTGTTGCCACAACATGTGACGTTTGAGTGGTAGTATTTGAGAAATTCAACAACAGTCATCGATTATTGGAGACTGGTGCGAGAGGCGTTTGATACCGAAAAACTGTGTGAGCGGCGAGAAGAGGTGTGGTTTTTTTGGAAAAAATGGGCATTAAGGTGACCGAGCGCGCATTAAAACCCGAAATAATCAGTGCGCCGTAGCCGCGTCTTCGTTTGTTTCGAGAGAGAGGGCCCACGGATAGCGCGATCCTGTGTTTTAATGTCAATATAAGTTTAAAGTTAGGTTATGCTTCGTTGACCAATTTTGGATATTGTCGCGTGAAATGACCAGTTGGGCAGCAAGAATGCACCGGCGGGCTGCCACATTTAGCAACGTTGTCACCTCTTGCGGCCACCCCTCCGGCCCCTACCCCAGAAGACTCGAGAAAGTCAAATTCGGGGTTTCTCTGGAAGAAGTCTGCAAAAATGACATCCCTGGACCCCTACTAGTAAGTCTTCTTTGTTTATTAACATTTTCTTTCACCAAATGGCGATACAAAACTATATTAGTAATTTTTGTTCATTATAAGGCCTAAAAATGTTCAATAAGCCATACCTACATATATTTTAGTAAACTAAATAAAATTTGTGTATGTTTACTTTAAATAAAATAGTAGCTATTATATAAATTTAAACACATATATAGGTAACCCAAATATAACTTTCTTAAAATTGTCAACTTAACCTAGTTAGGTATATCCAAAGATAATATAATATAATCTTTGGTTATACCTGTCCTTAATTCTCCAATTTATGCTATATACAGGGTGTCTCCGAATTTTATTAACAAATCTTAAGGGGTTATTCTACACCGCAAAATATAAAAGTTCCTAAGAACATGGGGAACATGCTTCGCTCCTTTGAAGATGGCACTGATCATTTACATTTTTTTTTATCTCAGGTGTACCTACCTACTTTAACATAAATTTTTGCACAAGCCCTACAATTAACAAATGCAACATTTCTGCCTCATACCTGATATTGAAATATTATCAGGGGGGACCCAAACAGGGGGTTATGGAGCATCACTCCCATTTTTTTGAGCTATGTTATTGGTTATTTTAGTTCCATTTTATAACTAAAAAGGTCCTCTTGTTCAAAAGGTCTAAAACAACAGGTTTAAAAAAAACGTTTTGAAAAAATTAAAGGGGCGTAAGAAAGTATATTTCTGTACCTTGGAATAGAAAGGGCGGGTGTTACAAATTTACCAATTAGTCTAGATTTCAATGTACCTACCTAGGTCTTTTTTATTTTACCAACTCATAAACCGTAAAATATACGGACTTAGAAGGGCCAAAAATGGACACCCAATTCCAAGCAACATATATGTATGTATAGGTATACCTATATGACTGTTTTATGGTACCTACACCAACGAAAATACGTTTAATAACATCCCTTTACTTTCACTTAATGTGGTTCTTACATAAATAATATATTTTAATGTAAATTTAATTCATTACCCACATCCTTCTGCATAAATATTATTCCTTTTTATTCTTTTAACAAGTGCAACATTCTAAAATAAAACTATAGAAATTTAATTACCTACTAGAGATAACGTAAAAACGTAGATAAAGGTGCAAATTTTGTGTTGACCTATTTTGAGGTTTTCTGCAGCAAAATGTAAAATGTGCAAAATTTTGACCTGAGGTTTATAGTGCGTATTTTCCTCGATATACAAGGAAAATTCCATGTCAATTGCAATATTACTTTAAATGTTATAAAGAAGTTTCACTTTTAAAAATACATTTGATAATATTATCAAATGTATTTTTAAAAGTGAAACTTCTTTATAACATTTAAAGTAATATTGCAATTGACATGGAATTTTCCTTGTATTATATTTATAAACTTTACTTTTACTTTTTGAAACATTATACACAGTTCTGATATTTAAGGTATAATGTATCATTTCTGGGGTATGACTTGAGGAAGCTTGCAATTCCAGTAAAATCCCAAAACTTTTTAAAGTTACACAGCTTAAAACAGATAATGGAATTTTGCGAAATTTTCCCACAATCAATATTAAACAACAATTTTTACAACTTCAGAACTGTAGATTAATACCATTATTGTTTGCATTATCTTTATTAGATAGCAGGTAAATAGAATTTTAGAGCAATAAAAATTAATCCATTTATAATGTGCATAGCAAATGATTTTCTATATTGGCATTAATTATTTGCAAAACAAATCAATTATGAATCAAAGTTGTGTTATTGGCGAACTAAAAAATATTAAATTAAATTTCACTTTGAATCGTTTTAATCGGTTTCAATGCATTGTGTTTAATATTCAGGATATATCAAGTCACTGATTTTACTAACAATAGTACCTACATTGAGTTCACAGTTATTTCATGCAGGCTATTCACCTATAGTAATATATTTATGTACCTACCTATAAAATAAAAAATTAACTAATAAAAAAGTTTTGCCCTAGATGATAATCCTAGTTAAAATTGGATATTTTATTATTTAACAAAAAAATTAATTGGTGTTATTAATTATAATTATATTTATTCGAACACCTGCATTAGTGGAAATAGTTATTGAAACATAATGTAATCAATATCCTGTTAAATTAATTTTTTATGGTGTACTATTTCCAACATAACACAAGATACCTACCTATTATAATGATAAACAACAGATAAAAAATGCCAAGCAGACAAATCTGAAATCGAAATAATTTTATTTTTCTGTATACAGGATGTCCCGAAAATGGGGCACTAACCATACCATACTATAGTATGCTATAATCAGTGGCGTAGCTAGTCTCGAGGGGGGCCCGTATCAAATATCTGGTAGGGGCCCTTATACGGGAAAAGCTGCTGGCAAAAAAATTTCTGGGTGTCAAGTCTATTTTGGACAAATAAAAAAAAATGTTTAGGGTATTATTTTTGTGCATTTACCAATTTTTTATAATTTATTTAATAATATATGTATAGGTACATAGCTATTTATATACGCAAATTTTAAAATTTGGTCTGGTTTTAGACATTTACCTACTGTTCTTCAACATCTTTTAAAAGGTTTCTATTTTAAAATAAAGGCAAGTCATTTGAAACAATATTGTAACGCTAATAATTATTTCCAATTTGCTATTAATATAACCTATAATATTAACACGCAAAGCAGACTAAGTATGCGGCGCAGAGCACAGAACAATATACGCAGACTGCGCCGCAGACAACGCATAGCGGAAAGGTGCGGGCAGAATCAATTCGTATGAGTTCACGGCCTCGTTGGAACAGAAGGGTATTCAGGAAAATTGTAATTTAATAAATCGAAGTATAAACAATAATTGAGGCATAAAATTAAATAAATAATATTATTATTTAATTATTAAATAATAATATTATTTATTTAATTTTATGCCTCAATTTTTTAACATGTGGGTAATATGTTTTTCGCTTACGCATGTCGAAGCCAATCGGGGGCCACCCCTAGCCGGGGGCCCCGTATCATTGATACGGCTGATACTGCGGTAGCTACGCCCCTGGCTATAATAAAATGAATAGGTATTATTTATTTTACCAATTCCCTAGAATAAACAAGAATTAATTAGCACGTGATGGTATGTACGCTACTGGTCAATCGGTAATACAACTTTCGAAGCCACGCCTTTTATCGCGGATTGGCCAATAGCATTGGTGTTGCCCACGTGCTCTTCACGTGTATTTGTTTTGTTCTAGGGAATTGGTAAAATGAATATAGGGAAGTAGTTTTCGAGTAGTGTTGCAACTGCGGAAGTTCTGCATAATTTTTGACATCGCTTCTGCATCTGTTGCCGCATTTTTTTATATGGAACGCTTATTGAAATTTTTCAAAAATGGTAAGATTGGCAACAAGCGCGTTTATTAGCAAAAAAATGTTATTTTTTATAGTAATTACACTTCCGCATCCGCTGCTGCTTCTGTTATGCACACTTCCGTTGCATCACTATTTTCGAGTTATTTAAGACGAAGGCTATTTTAGACGATATTTTAAGGCGGGTTTAGGACTTAGGACGCTAGATATTTATGTTTTTCTTTCAAGGTATTAATTCTAAAACTGAACAAAGAGGCCCCGTGCAGGAAGGACGTGTTCCGCGCTCCCGGCCATCAGGGCGCGATGAAAAAGTTGACGCATTTTCTGCAAACCGGTCGGCTGGTCAACATGGACAATTTTAGCGTGTACACCATCGCCAGTGTGCTCAAAAAGTTTCTGCGCAAAGTTCCTGGCGGCGTTTTCGGCCGCGAAATTGAGCAGAAATTCTTTCAAGTCATCGAAATCGCCGATGCTCAGCAGCAGAGAGAGGAAATACAAAAGTAAGTATCTAAAATTTCTTCCCGTACGCAATTAAACATTCTGTATACGTATTTGGCCCCAGATCGATAATGCATTTAAATTGCCCGAGCATTTTTTTATATAGACTAATCTTCGCCGGTTAAAAACACTCAGGCAATTTTAATACATGTTTCATTCCATCGTTTCGGCCCGAAACGATGACTAGAGTCTGCAGACCATACTTCACAAAGGCTTTCGATCCCGCACATGCGCTTTGGTTTATCAGCTGATCTACTGTCAATCAACTAAAATGGGCAAAAGTGAGCGAAACCAACCCAAACTCAACAACCCAACCGGCCCCGCTCCAACCGACCCCGCTCCAACCTTCCCCCCGCCCCATTGAGCAATAGAGATATAATATATGTAAGGGTAGATACATTTTATAAATTTTGATCATTAAATAATTTTTATTTATTTAAATTATAGGTAAAATAGTATGAGGCGCCGTTTGTGTCATTAATAAATGCTAAAATATATATAATATTTACTGATATATATTTATTTTTATTAAATATATATATATTTTTTGCAAATATATATTTTTTTGTTGAAAATAAATATATATATATATATATATTTACTTTTTAAACAAATATATATATATATTAAAAAATATATATATATATATATATATATATTAAAAAATAAATATATATATATTTTTAAAAAATAAATATATATTTTTTAGTGAACTTACATATTTATATAAAAACTGAGCTTATGCGAACAGTCGCTTGGTAGCGTTCACTTCGCAAACGCAACGCTGCAACAGCTGACCCAAAAATAGTGGTGCAAGGTTATGTTATAAAACTAGATAAAAAAGGGTTATGAACAAGAAATTGCCGGTAGGTAATTGTGTTTGATTTGAAGTAAATATTTTATGTAGTGCACATATCTCTAAATATGTGATCCAGTGTCTACATAATAATAATAATAATTTATTTGCAGTAACTGTAAAAATATACATCAATGATTTACAATAAAACACAATTACACATTTCTGCAAAAAGGACTGAAAGGCAGTAATTACTGATACAAGTTTTAGCCCAGAAACAACTATAAATAATTTACAAAATAGACATTTAAACAATTGGCATTATCCTAAATAAAATAAATAATACGCCCGCAACAGGCTTTTTGCGAGCCAAAAATAGCTAACCAATAAATTTAAGACAACATCTAGATATAAATAACACTAAAAATGAACAAGCCTAAACCATAACTAATCTAAAGTAATCTAGTATTTATATTTAAATACAAACTTAATAAGAATCCTAGACCAATAACAATAACAATGTCGGAAGAAAGAAAGCGCCAAATGTAATGTTTTGTCACGCGTCAGCTGTTGCAGCGTGAACGCCACCAAGCGACTGTTTTCATAAGCTCAGTTTTTATATAAATATGTAACTTTACTAAAAAATATATATATATTTTTTTAAATATATATTTATTTAAAAAAAATATATACAATATAAATTTGCAAAAAATATATATATATATTTAATAAAAATAAATATATATCAGTAAATATTATATATATTTTAGCATTTATTAATGACACAAACGGCGCCTCATAAAATAGCGCAATGATAACAAACAAAATACCCACCAGGATGATAACAAAGTATAAATTTTTATGTATTTTGAAATATTATTTTAGCAATTAAAGTGCCTTATTCTCTACGTTTTTAGTTGTTCTATCTAAATTGTAAAATAAGTACAGTTTAGCATATAGTATAACGATTTTATACGTCGATAAGTGTGCGTTTCCGGTGTTTCACGATTTTGCCTCTATGTCCTGACCAATGGTCAGTGACCATGGTTACATTTATTTGAAATTCAGCGAATTTTCTTAGGAAAACATTCCTTAAAATTACAGGCCTCCAAAAGTATAATATTTACTAACCATCTACCACATAATCACTATCACAAATAACGTTTTACTATTTTGTTAAAAAATTTTATTTTGTTTCGGGTGTTACCAGTACAAAAATTAAACACTTTACATTGACAAAATCGGTGTTATTAGTCTCTAAGTACTACAAAATATGTAAGTAACAAATAAACATAAATAGTGGGCTGTCAAAAATAATACTTATTGCATTTTTCAAGCAATACACACACATATATCGACATATGAAAAAAATTATAACACTCTAAACGTTTCGGGTGTTACAGTTTTTAATCAAGAAAAAAATATTTCTAATTATAAGACTAATTTAACATGCTCAGATATTAGTTAGTATTTTAAATCATTATCACCATAACCTTACTTTTACTAAATAAATAAATAAAATTTGTATTGCATATTGAGTACATATAGAACATAAAATACAAAATATACAAAAAGCCTGTTACTAAATATTATTACACTAATCAATCTGTAAGGTATAATAATAAAACAATTACCTGATTTTTCGTTTCGGGTGTTACAGTGTTAAAGTAACAAGAAAACACAATTATAACGCAATAATTATAATTTTTTCGGGACTGTGACGCAATTCACCAATACTGCGATAAATAACCTTTAATCACATCGTGGCAAAACGGTTGACAGATTGACAATTATTTTTTTTCGTATTTCCAATAGTTAGAGGCACAATGGTCATTCAGCCAGTTCACTTGAGTAAAGATTTTGAAGACTAATTAACTTAGTTAACCTAGTTTTTTTTGTTGCACATTAGAATTTGGAATGTTTTCTTTCAAAATTCATCAGATTTAATGCGAAAAGAATATATTTATTTTTTCACCATCAATATCGTTTGTCGTGGAATGACCCACATGCCGCATTATCATTTGGGTACCAAATACCTATCAGTGGCGGCTGGTGGATTTTAAGTATACCAATATCTCAGTTATTAGACATGGGACCCACACCAAATTTATAATAGTTTATATTGACATTAAATAAACAAGTTCGGCGCAAACAGAATTTAAATTGAAGTTTGCGAAAAAAAGTTAGTTTTTCCTGTCGCCTACCCTGCCTCCAGGCCCCCCTATTTGAGATAATTCAAATTAAACTGGTGCAATTTATTATCTACTATAATTTATCGACAAATTTAAAATTTTATTCAAAAAATCCAAATATTACAGATTTTATTCGATTTTAAATTTTTATTATTTATTTTATTAAAATAAAAAAATATTTAAAATGGTATAAAAACTGTAATATTTGGATTTTTTAAATAAAATTTTAAATTTGTCGATAAATTATAGTAGATAATAAATTGCACCACTTTAATTTGAATTATCTCAAAAAGGGGGGCCTGGAGGCAGGGTAGGCGACAGGAAAAACTAACTTTTTTTCGCAAACTTCAATTTAAATTCTGTTTGCGCCGAACTTGTTTATTTAATGTCAATATAAACTATTATAAATTTGGTGTGGGTCCCATGTCTAATAACTGAGATATTGGTATACTTAAAATCCACCAGCCGCCACTGATACCTATACAGAATGTTTAAATGCTTTCCGTACTAGCACAACAATAAACAAATAAAAGTAGTACACCTGCTTTCATGATTGCTGCACCCTGTATAAATTAAAATATACTATGTGGGCGATTCGAATCGCCTCTGTGCAGAGCAGAGATGAGTGGGTGTGAAAAAAATACTAAATTAATTATGAGAGATAATAAATTCTTGCATTTCAGTGGGACGAATTATATTCCGGACCAGATGTCTTAATTTACTCGTGTTTCACGTCTAATTAGAAACTGCATAGTATTATGTTGGTTATTTTTTTTATAATGACATACTTTTTAAATGAGGGTACAATTTTACAATAAACATTTCTTTGAATGATGAAATTAAAATTATTTGACTTATGATTTGGACATCCGGTATAAATACAGTACATTCCAGTCAGTGCATTTAAATGCAATTGTTTTTTTATACATGGCCATCATTTATGTATTGCTTCAGTAAAAAATAATGAAAAAAAAAACAATGTTATAAACTATAATAAAAAATAGTTTTATTAAATGCACTTTATCTAGGATTTTTAAATGTTCTTATCAAAAGTGGCCATTCATAATATACAAAAATACACTTATTCATATTTACTTAATGATAGATGACAAACTTCTTATCTCTACAGTTACAATTTAAACAATAAATACGTAAAATATAAATACTTTTTCTGTACACAAAAAATTGTAATTTTTTAATTAAAATAATAAGTAGCAAGTTGGAGCAATTATTTTTTGTTATTTCCCATTTTTATAAATTTTACTGCTCATACTTTCTAACAACTTTACGTAACTATGCCGCGTTAATTATTTTTGTTATATCCTTGTTTCCCACAATTAACTTTTATACGGGGTTTTTCGAAAGTCAGGTAAAATTGCTCTAATAATAGATATATGCTTTTAAATTCGTCCCTTTAAGAAATTACAAACGTTAAATATGATAAATTTTGTTAAAAAAAACAAAGCAATTTTGTAAATCTTGTAAAAAATACAAGAAATTTTGTAAATATAAAAAAATATAAAACAATTTGTAAACATGTTAAAAATACAAACTGTAATTCTGGTAAATCCTGTAAAAATGGACAAGACATTCTGCAAATTTTACAAAAATAAAAAAATTCAACAAATTTTGTAGTTATTGTGAAAAATACAAAATACAAAAAAATCTTGTAAAAATACAAAACAACTTTAAAAAAATACAAGAAACTTTGTAAATCTTCTAGGAAATTCAAAAAATCTGATATAATATATCAGATATTATCTTAGACAAAATACGAAGCACCTGCTAAAAAAATTAAAAATTCAGATAAATCTTGTAAAAATCCAAATCAACTTCTAAAAATACAAAAAAATACAAAACAAACCTAATAAATCTTGTACAAAATACATACATTTAGGAAAAAATCATTTAAAAATAATACAAGAAATTTTGTGAGTATGCAAAAATATTCAAAATAGTTCGTAAAAATAGGAAAAAATACAAACAATTTGTAAAAATTCAACTCTGGTAATTCTTGCAAAAAACAAGTTCACCAAATCATCTTAAAAAATACAAGAAATTTATTTAATCTTACGAAGTATTTTGTAAATATGGAAAAAATAAAAAACAATTTGTAAACTTTACTCTGTTAAATCCTGCAAAAATAAACAAGAAATTGCACAAATCTTACAAATATAAAAGAAATTTTGTAAATATAAAAATTCAAAGAATCTGATAAATCTTGTACAAAATACAAAAAAATCTTGTAAAAATAAAAGACATTTTGGAAAAATACAAATCTGTTTGTAAATATAGTTAAAAATACTGAGTAACTTTGTAAACAAAATAAAAAAATATTTTATTTTTTATTTTTAGGATCATCACGTCACTTCCGGTATACACTCAACGCCTATTGGTCCTTTTATTCGGAACGTTTCGCGTCATAGCTTGCAATAGCGAAAAACAGGGCACGGGGATGACAAGTGAAGCCCTAGGCGTGAGTGTGGCGCCATCTTTCTTTCACACGTGCGTAACAGACGGCAAAACGGCCAAAATGGAGGACGTCATGAAGTTTAAGGTGAAAAAAAAATCAACCAAAAATGTATATGGAAAACTTGCGTTAAAAAGAAATGTAAAGGAATTTTTTTTTTTGTTTTGAATAATTTTTTTAGTAATTAACGCAATTTTTCTAATTATTAATTGAATATGGGGCAAATTTTAATAAAATACATTTTTGCTTTCGCTGTATAATGCTTACTACAGGCCGATGTTAACGTAAGTTTAATATAACCCCCTTTTTTTTGACAAAAAAACCTTTTTACGTTCTTTACTTTATGTTTATGAAATTGTGTGAAAATTTGACAATTGACGTTTATACTGTCAAAAATCAAGGCCACAAACGTCACATGCTGTTAATTGTTTAAGTGTTCCAGTCTTGATCTAGTTGCAAATATAAAAACCTAGTTTTTCAACACGATCTTTTTGTGAACATTGTTTATTTTTCGTTTATTCTTCAATATTTTTTTCCTTTACTTAGGTTGCCTCGAGGGTTATGAAGCATTTAATTGAAGAATTCGCTTCTTCGAACCTTTTCGGGCGGGAAAATTACGAGTATTACGCCAGGGTGACCGGTAGGGTCCTTAGGGTCCAAGGGGAGTGGATATGCTCCTTTCAATGCAACAACGAATTTTTCACGTTGGAACGATATCTTTTGGGTAAGTACTAAAAAATTACAAACGGTTTTTGATTAGGTTAGTTTTTATTCGGACTTTGACAGCGACATTTGCTAAAAACTCTTTTTAGGGCGATTAAATACATTTTTTTTAAGTGGTACCTGGTAAAAAATGTACGTAAAATATAATTTTGAGCTATAAAGCTGATATTATGATTAGAAAATACAAAATGTGTCAAATTCCAAAAAAACAAAATAGAAACATTGATATTGTGTGTGTAGGCGTTGCTTATATCTAGTCTTAGTCGGTATTTGTTGTGGCGTCCTTGTAGTTAAAAAAATTTAGCTAGTTTTAAAGTAGTACCAACCTAAATTGTCTGAATTTCCCTCTTTAAAGGGCAACTGTCTCTGGGCACTGACACATGGCTGCAATGCGAAAACGTGCGCTGGAGCGCGAATTGCTGCTTGGAAGGTAATGATGACCTTGAAGTACGCGCTAACCAAACCGTTTAGTAGTCGGCACTCCTTTATTTTTAATTTCAATTTTTGATATTTTACTGCTAAACGTTGAAAAATTAAACGTTGAAATTTTAGGGTATACCGTCTTTTCATCTTTAGAAAGAGTGTGGTTTTGTTAGTATACCCTGAAAATTTCATCAAAATAAAACGTAATGTGCAAAAGTTTGACATTTTGGGCGCCAAAATGTTAAAATCGCAGTAGTCATACTTGATGATAATTTTAGTGTATACGGCGAAATCAGAATGTCCCAAAAGAAATAAAGCACTTTTCTTAGTATGCCCTGAAAATTTCATTTTAATCTCATTAAAAAGTTTGTCATGTTGAGCGCCCAAATGTTGCCCAAAAGTTGCATAGTTTGGGGACAATTTTAGGGTATTTTGTCAGTAATACGACTTAAGAGTGTCACCAAAAGAATTATAGTATACCCTAAAAACTTCATTAAAAACTGACTTTTGTGGAAGTTACATAACTCAAATCGGGTAGAGTTGGACGCCAAATTCTAAAATGTTATTAAAAACGCTCTGATTTTCGGAATAAAATCGATTATCTTGAAATGTTTTGCAGTAAAATATAATTACAATTTTATTAGTTCTCCATAAAAAAAAAACGTTTTATTTATTTATTTTTGTAGTTTTTGAGTGTGTTTGAGTATTTTGTTCGAATTTTCTTGTATAACATTCCGTTAGTACTGTGATATTTTTTTGATATAAAACCTAAATAAATTATTGTTTTCTTTTTTTCCATGTTTTATTTTGTGTATGTTTTTATTTGTTGCACTTTTTTATTAGTATTATTTTAGATCTTCAGGTATGTAGACATTACACTTAACACTTTTTTTTTTTAACACATTTTACAACTTTTTTTATAAAAGACTTTTTAAATAAATTCAGACTTTTCCTAATTTAATATAATTTATAAAGATTAAAAGTATTGCTTTTATTTGATTAAAATATTATTATTATACAGGGTCATTTATTAGCTCTCCATCAAACTTAAAGTGTTAAATAACTTTTAAATATTTTGACTTAGTTTAAAACATAGAATAGTATATTCTGTAACAAGTTTGGAATACAGCATATTCCGCTCGAGTGAAGAGTTTGTCACACGAGCCGAAGGCGAGTTTGACGGGTTCACGAGAGCGGAATATGCAATTCCAAACGTGTTTCAGACTATACTTTTTTTAAGTTTCCAAAAAATACCATAGAAAAATAATTTAATTGGAAGAAAGTGAGGTTGGATCGGTTAAAAATTTGTTAGATATTAAAAACAGAGATGTCGCCACGAGTGTTTATTTTGTAATAGGATGATAGAATTTTTCATTCTGTAACACTTTACGGAATATATGTCATTCCATAGATAAAAGTGATAATAGAGTGGTCAAATTCCGTAGTAGGAGTAGAAAAAAAGGATTAAAAGTTACTGATCTTTAAAGATAGGGGACATCCATTAATTACGTGAGACAAAAATGGGGGAGGGGTCCAGCAAAATCTCACCAAATCTCATGTTAAGGGAGGGAGAGTCATTTAAAAGCTCACGTCAAGTTTTGAGTTTAAAAAATATATATTATAATTAAAATTTGTTAAAAAAATTTTTTTACATGTTGTCTGCAAAGAAAGTGTAATGGCTAAAATCTCACGTGAAGGATTCGGGGGGTCTACCACATCTTACCAAGGGGGAGGAGGGGGTCCAAATTATCAGAAAAATGCCTCGCGTAATTAATGGATATCCCCATACAATTTTAGTGGTCAATAGTATATAATTTCCAACGTCAAATTACATTTGGTTATAGCATTATGTAATCTTGACAACTGAGTTAAATTAACTCAATAAATGACAAATTAAATTTACAAAAATATTTCTTAAATGTAACAAGTTTGAAATACGGCATATTGCGCTCGAGTGAAATGTTTGACACACGAGCCGAAGGCGAGTTTGACGGTTTCACGAGAGGGGAATATGCAATTCCAAACGTGTTTCAGACTATACTTTTTCTACGTTTCCAAAAAATACTATCTATAGACAAATAATTTAATTGGAAGAAAGTGAGGTTGGATCGGTCTAAAATTTGTTAGATATTAAAAACAGAGATGTCGCCACGAGTGTATATTCTGTCATCAGATGATAGAATATTTCATTCTGTAACACTTTACGGAATAAATGTCATTCCAGAGATATTAGAACGGTCATATTCCATAATAGGAGTAGAAAAAATTATTACAATGACAACTTTATTTTATTATTGACAACAGTAAGTAATGAATGTTTGATTTTACTGACCATTTTTTAAGAGTTTAGTCAAGATGCATGCATTATATATGTCTCATAATGCTATAAACTTCAAATGTAATTTGACGTTAGAAATTATACACTGATGTGCACTAAAATTGTACATCTTTAAAGTTCTGTAATTTTTTTACCAAGTCGAATTAAGTAAAACTTGTTAACACTTTATTCTCAAATTAAATTCAATTAAAGTTTAATCTGACAAAGTTAAATGGTGCGCTAATAAATCACCCTGTATATAAATTTGTTGGAGTAATTTCGTATTTTTTTTAAGGAAGTATCTCCATTTCAAAAGTTTCCATATAATGTCTTTAAAATTTAATATATAATTTTGTGAGGCATCGGACACATTTAAGATTTTTTTCCATAAAAATAAACTATAATAATGAATTTTTAAGCTCTCAACATAATCCTATTTTGTGTCTCGAGTTTAGAAACGGATTTTTAAAATAATCTATGGTAAATCTGTCGAAAATAACACTTCTGCACGGGTGTTAAAATTCATTTTTAAACTTAAGCAAGCAAAGAGGATCATGTTGATGGTTTAGAAATTGATTATTACAGTATATTTTTTATAGAAATCTCAAAAAACAATTTTTTTAGCACTTTTTATATTAGTAACTTAAACAAATTAACAATTTATATTGTTACTTTTTATGTTTTTAGTTTTTAATGATACTTTATTTTGTAATAAAGTAGTAATTTGGAGATACTACCTTAAGTACAATTTTTAATAAAATTTTGAAAACTATGCAAGATATATCATTTTAGGGAATCAAGCATAATTCTTTACCCGTTTTCCGATGCAATTAAATTAAAAGAATGTATTCAAGATTTCAAAAAGTAATTTGATTTACTTCAAGAGTTAATTCACTGGATTAATTTATGTCAACCCTGGTTTATTTTAAAAACATTTCAGCCCTTTCTCAAGTGGAAGAGTGTCAGTCTACCCCTGCCCTTCTAGAAACAGCTATGCAACCCCAGGTCAGCTCCACATCACTGGGCATGATTGCAGAACACAGCCTTTTGGAATCCTGCACAAGACTTTCCATTTCTCTCGAACAAAATGGTCTGTTTCAGGTAAAAACATTGTGTTTGACATTTCCGAACGTATGGCAACGTTGTACTTTGTCAAGGATATGTCAGAAGAACGGTAAATGTTTTATTACAATTAATGACCTTTTATCCTATTTATAGGGCAATGCAACGTCACATTCTTCTAGTAGAAGTCAATCTTCAAATAACAGCAACTCTGGGCCAAAAATGAGCCTGGATGAGCTTAAAGCGGTCAATAGATACGCTGAAAGTACCAAGAGCTTAAGCTTTTTACCACAGGTAATTAAAAAAGTGGTAGCATATCACCAAAACTTCAAAAAAGCTTGTTTTTATATAATTTGTTTTATAGGTCCATGAAAGACAAACGCAAAGGATGAAAACGCGTTCCCAATGGTTCTTGGGACCCTCGGTAGAGTGCACCAGCTGCGGGGGGTCTCTGGATATACCGTTAAATGAGGCTGACGTTTCAATGCTTAGTAACACTTTATTAAGACGGTCATCTTCAGGAACAATTGGTAAAAATAATAAAAAAACAAAATTTTAACGTGTTTCCAATTATTTTTTTCTTTCAGTTGGTATAGCCGGCTTATCTCTAAGTGCAGAGAGTATACAAAAAAGACCAAGCGTTAAAAGATCGAACTCAAGAGATAAAAGATATATACAACGATCAGCTAGCAGGAGGAATAAAGAAAATGGTTCTAGATCCAATAGGTAAGTTTTTATACCACTCATTTAACTATGCACCTTGGCTTTCCTATGTTTTTTGGGATTAAGAACTCTTAAAACTGTCTTAAAGTTGTTCCAAAACTGATTTAGAATTAACTGTTTTAGAACTTTTGGTTTTAAATTGTTAAACCATAAAAACAAGGTTTTGAGAATGTTTAACCACACAAAACAAGAATAAAAAAAGATTAAAGCAATCATAAAAAACACAATGTTTTTAGAATGTAAAACCATCAAAAACACAAGAAATTTAAAGAATGTTGAAGCAATCATGAAAAGCAAAGGTTTTAAAAATGTTTAACCATAAAAGCAAGATTAAGAAACACAAGAATTTTAATGAATGTTGAAACATTCATAAAACAAGGTTTTAAAAATGTTAAACCATAAAAATAAGAATTTTAAAAAAGTTGAAGCAATCCTAAAAATCACAAGGTTTTAACATGTTTTAAACATAAAAATAAACTTTTGAGAACCATAAAAACAAGAACCATAAAAATAAGAATTATTATAAATGTTGAAGCAATCCTAAAAATTACAAGGTTTAAAAAAAAATACCATAAAAACAAGGTTTTAAGATTGTTTAAACATAAAAAAATAGAAATTTTTAAAAATGTTAAAGCAATCATAACAATCACTAGGTTTTAAGAATATAAAACCATCAAAAACACAAGAAATTTAAAGAATGTTGAAGCAAAGTTATTAAAAATGTTTAACCATAACATAAGAATTTTAACCATAACATAAGAATTTTAATGAATGTTGAAACATTCATAAAAACAAGGTTTTAAAATTGTTAAACCATAAAAAAACAAGAAATTTTAAAAACGTTGAAGCAATCATAAAAATCGCAAGGTTTTAAGAATATAAAACCAAAATAAAAGAAATGTTTAAAAAACCTTGAAGCAATCATAAAATCACAACGTTTTAAGAATGTTAAACCATAAAAATAAGAGTGTTATATCATAAGAAAACAAGAAATTTAAATAATGTTTAAGCAATCCTAAAAATCACAACAAGATAGTTTAAACATAAAAAAATAGAAATTTTTAAAAATGCAATAATAAAAATCACAAGGTTTTAAGAATGTAAAAACATCAAAAACACAAGAAATTTAAAGAATGTTGAAGCAAAGTTATTAAAAATGTTTAACCATTTAACCATAACATAAGAATTTTAATGAATGTTGGAACATTCATAAAAACAAGGTTTTAAAATTGTTAACCCATAAAAAACAAGAAATTTTAAAAACGTTGAAGCAATCATAAAAATCGCAAGGTTTAAAGAATATTAAACCAAAATAAAACAAATGTTTAAAAATCCTTGAAGCAATCATAAAATCACAACGTTTTAAGAATGTTAAACCATAAAAATAAGAGTGTTATATCATAAGAAAACAAGAAATTTAAATAATGTTTAAGCAATCCTAAAATAAAGTACCATAAAAACAAGGTTTTAAGATTGTTTAAACATAAAAAAATAGAAATTTTTAAAAATGTTAAAGCAATCATAAAAATCACAAGGTTTTAAGAATGTAAATACATCAAAAACACAAGAAATTTGAAGAATGTTAAAGCAAAGTTATTAAAAATGTTTAACCATTTAACCATAACATAGGAATTTTAATGAATGTTGAAGCATTCATAAAAATCGCAAGGTTTTAAGAATATTAAACCAAAATAAAACAAATGTTTAAAAAACCTTGAAGCAATCATAAAATCACAACGTTTTAAGAATGTTAAACCATAAAAATTAGAATTTAAAAAAATGTTGAAGCAATCGTAAAAATCAAAAGGTTTTAAAAATGTTAAACCATAAAACACAAGAATTTGAATTTGATCATAAAAACACAACGTTTTTAAAATGTTAAACCATTAAAATAAACACAAAACATTGTTAAAGCAATCTATATAATCGCCAGGTTTTAAATATTTCACAGGAATGTTAAAAAATGTTCTGACAATCATAAAAATCACAAAGTTTTAAGAATGTTTAACCATAAAAAAAATGTTAAACCATAAAAAAAACAAACAAAAAAGTTGAAGCATTAATAAAAAAAGGTTTTAACAATGTTAAAATATAAAAATTATGTTTTAAGGATGTTTTACCATAAAACGCATGCTTTATGTAGAAACAAAAAAAATGTAATATTTTTTTCAGCTTCAAAGGCAGAGGCGACCGAAAATCCGCGGGCTCGCGCTCGAACAGCTTCAAAATAAAATACGAGAACATATCGAGATCGTGCAGCTTCAAGGCGAAAAACGAACTGTGCACGTGTCCGCCGCCGCACGTCGCCACCGCCTCGGGGGGCGGCGATGTTGCCAAAGAGAACGGCCTTAAAGAGGACACGCCCAGCAAGACGACGGAAACAATATGCGTCACCCTAACCTACAAACCGAGGATTTAGCCCTCGCGCAAAAGTAAGAGTTTTTAGACTAAGGGCGGCACAAAAAATTATGATGTTGGTATTTTTGGAATCAGCAATGTAAAATGAAGTTAATTGAAGTTCGATTTTGGCCCCCTGTATGCGACTTGATAAAAACGGTATTATTTTATATTATTTATTCGGTATATTTTATGGTTTTTTCGTTTTTGTCGAAAAAGGCGCATAAATATTATTAAATCTATAAATCAATAAAACCATACGCTTATTACGTATTAGTGTACTGTATATAATGTTAATAATATCATCGAGTGAAATTTTGATTATTTTTAATGTTAGCGATATTCTTAAATTACATAAATATAAAACACACTGTGTATGGCTGATTTTTGAATGTTTTTTGTGATATTGGCTACTTTCATCACATTTTATCACGACGAGAACACCTTGTAATGGAACAAAGTAATGCACTTTTTTTAATTTGTCGCGTATCTCGAAAAGTTTTAATGCTAAAATCATGAAGCCTACACAGGCTCCATGGATAAAAGGTTGAAATTTGGTGTAAATGTTGAGGTTATGTGGGTCTTTAATACACCCTAATTTAGTGATTTTAACATTTCCACTTCTTGAGATATGTAAGGTTTTCTTGTCATCATTGAGTCAAAATTACCAAAAAATTAAAGTACAAAATTACATATTCATTTTTTATTTGTAATTAAGTGTAAGTGGTTAGAGTGTAAGTCAGACCAAACTAACATAGGTAGCATTCCAAAAAATATATAAATTGCATTTAGATGTTAAGCTGGGTCTTTGTGTATTTTATTAAGACTGTATTTTGTCCAATTTTATCAGGTTTTTTAGACAATTTTTTACCTTATTACTACTTTTATTACCTATTAACTTATTATTTATTAAGTATTACAATACATATTTATTATTACTATACCTAGTATTTTTATTAACATTCAGTTTTACTTTACTCAATTTAAATAAAATGCTCTATTTTAGCATTTGTATCAATGGTATTCTAGAGATTATTGAATGTTATATGTGAAAATGTATTTTATTCATGACTGTATGCACACAGGGTAGTTCAAATTTCTTGGTATTTCTCGATATTTGCGTCTTTTACTTTCTATTCAAAATGATATCTATGAAAAGCAATAAACCATTTAGAGCGCGTCATTCTACATCCCACCTAGTGTGCTGTGGAGAATGCCATGGTCTGATTGGTTTAGAGATCATTTTCTATAGAAAGTGAAGGCGCAACATTCAAACTAGTCTGTGTGCAGTATTGAAAATTTGTTAATTTTTAATATTGCGAGGGATAAAGATGCTTTTATGGGACTATAGTATTGTTTAACAATACACCAACAAAACACCAAGTAGTTTTAATAATATTAATATATTACAAAATATATGGGGCGATCCACGCCAAATCGGCCAAGATTCACACTTCATGTTTCCGATTTACTTCAAATTTTCAGGGCCGACAGAGGAACATAAATAAAGGAGAAATCCAAAATTTTAATTTTTTTTATGCATTTTTGTGGATTTTATATAATAAATAAAAAAAAATGTCACGTTTCTTATTTTTCGAAAATTAAAAAACTGAAACGACTGAAAATTTCGAGATAAATTTAGATGTACATATTTTTGGGCGCTCTTTAAAAAAAAAAAATTTTTCAAAAATTTTAACCTAAAAATTCATTAAAAAAATCATTTTTTTTAAACAAATTCAATTATCCAAAAAATGCCATCTCAAAAATTTTTCAAAAAATTTATGGTGATAGCCCTGAATCTTGCGCAAATTTTGACTAGTTACTTTTTGGGGGGACTCAAAAATTGTAGAAGTTATGAATTTTTTTATGAAGCGATGCGTTTGAAATCGTTACTCCCAATGCAATGGCTCCGCGCGACTTTTAAGCGCGCTTAGTCAAACGGGGGATGGAATGGTTTCAGACCAAACAAACAAGTAATTTTATGTATTTTATCAAAAACCAAAATTCATTTATTTCATTCTTAATTAATTGCAAAAAATGCGATGTAATCTCCTGATTTAATATTATAACTGTTGAATTTGTAAAAAAATAACTTTTTCTATCTTTTATGGTAAAAATTTTATTAGGCAAATTCTGTGTTATATAATTAATTTACAAATACTAAAAAAGTCTTTGACAAATACTGTCCTAGTATCCATGACAACCTAAAATGTTGATTTTAATTTGTTATTAGATTGCCATGCATTTCTGACGTTAGTCTAAAAGTAAACCATAACATTATTTAAGGCGTTAAATTTGAAACACCCTGTTTGTTGTTAGTAGTTATTATTAGTTATTATTATTGTTATTATTGTTAGTTATTATTAGTTATTATTGTTATATTAGTTATTATAGTTATTATTAATTATTATTGTTAGTAGTTATTATTAGTTATAATTACTAATTAGTATAATAGTTTTGGCGCATTAACCCGAAGTTTATAATAATTATAGAATTGTTGAGTTTAGTAATTTCTTGAGTGAGTTTATTAAGGAAAGCTATCAACATGAGTCCATCACACAAAAAGCGTTGCTGTAATCCATTTAAGTATCCCAACCGTAAGTGATTATTAATTAATTTTATACTTTATTATTCAAATTATTGTAAATTAAGTAAAATTAACTTAAGTTTTCATAGAGTTTTTAAATAAATGTTTTTTGCAGATCCTAATTCAACTCAACTCAGAAAGTTTTTACGTTTTCATAGGCATAAGTTTGAAAATATTCCCAAAGATGCTTTGATCTGTAATTCATGTCGAGTAAAATTAACAATCCAAGAAACTCCTGAAAATGAAGATTTAGGTTCAGATTCAACTGATTCAAATGCGGAAGAATTTATTTCATCAAAATTAACAAAATTAAATTTAAACATCGCCTTAAATGCTTTAGGTGAAAAAGAAATTGATGATAAAAAGTATGTTAAACATTTTTGTTTTGTAAAAAAAAAATGATAATATGCGCTCGATATTCATGAAAGTGATGCATCACTTTCATGTATATAATATAATATAATCAAAGACAAAATTATATTTTTCATTATCATAACTGAATGTTTTACAGACTTAGATATAAAAATTATATTGTTGGTAAAGTTGAAGCAGCACAAGAAAGTATTAAAAAAAAATTTGAAGAAATAACATGTTTAAATATTGTTACTTCAGATGATGCTAAAACTGTGGCTCATAATAACATTATGTCTATGTTTATGGAGAAATTCAATGCTGAAGACACATCGAGGTTAAATATTATTTTCTCAATCAATTTAATTAAAAATTATTACAAAGAAAAATTTAAGTTCAATTTAAAATCGCATTGTTATTATCAATATTTATAATTAATTTTTATTTCAGAGATAATAAATATCGTATTTTAACTTCACTACCATCAACTTTAAGCACATGCAATATAACACGAACATTCAATTGCTCTAAGCATATGGTAAATGTTGCCAAAAAATTGCAAAAAGAAAAAGGCATTCTATCAGTACCCGGCGTCAAAAACGGACGAAATCTTTCGAGTGATAACATAGATTTAATAACCCAATATTACCGAAACGACGAAAATTCAAGGCAATTGCCTGGGATGAAGGATTACGTGACTATCAAAAAAGATGATGGAGCGAAAGAGAAAGTTCAAAAGAGACTTGTTTATTGTAATTTAAAAGAACTTTACCAATCTTTTAAATTAGAATTCCCGAATTGCCAAGTAGGTTTCTCTAAATTTGCCGAACTTCGTCCCAACGAATGTGTTCTGGCAGGAGCTAGCGGAACACATACAGTTTGTGTGTGTATCTTTCATCAAAATGTTAAACTTATGATCGAAGGTCAGAAAATAGAATTTGATTTCAGAAACCTTAATTAGTTTGATTTACACTTCTTAAGAATAAAAATTATCGTAATAATTATAATTATTCTAATATTTCTAATTATTATAATAATAATATATTATTATTATTATTATATTAATTAGAATTAATAAAATAAATATAATTATTAATAATAATTATAATCAATTATCTGTTTATAGGCTCGGATTTACAAAATTTAACCAAAACTTGGGAAATTCCAATAAAAGGAAAAAGTTCGTACAAGGAGCTCTTTAAATATCTGCTATGTCTAAATCCGATTATCAAATGTTACGAAGGTCAGTGTGCTTTATGTCCCAGCAATGATATTCTAAAAGAAAAACTAATCGACGCATTTAATAATGACTTAGTCGAGGAAGTGAATTACAAACAATGGATATCAACAGATAGGTAAATATTAAGTTATAGTGTAAATTTATGTTGGTTTTGATTTATTACTGTTTTTGAATTAGGTGCTCTCTGAAAACTTTGAACGAAACTATTGATGAATTTGTTCCATCTTTAATAGAAAAATTGACCAAACTACTTTTTCACGATTTTATCGCCACTAAACAGTCTCTGCATTTTAAAAATGTAAAGAAGAATTTAGAAGTTGGCGATTTCGTGGTAACTCTCGATTTTTCAGAAAATTTTGCATTTGTTGTTCAGGAAGCAGTCCAAGGATTTCACTGGAACAACAATCAGGCAACGGTTCATCCGATTGTCATATATTACAAAAATCGTGAAACAAATGAAATTGAACATGTTTCTTATGTTGGCATATCGGATTGCCTTAACCACGACACTATTGCGGTATATACGTCTCAGAAAAAATTAATCGATTTTCTGAAAAGAAATTTTTTAATCGTCAACAGAATTATATATTTTTCGGATGGAGCACCTCAACAATATAAAAATAAAAAGAATTTTGTTAATTTAACCCATCACTTGACAGATTTTGGAGTTGAAGCTGAATGGAATTTTTTCGCAACAGCTCATGGAAAAGGAGCCTGCGATGGCGTTGGAGGCACATTAAAACGAATAGCTCGAAGATACTGTTTACAAAGTGGAACCAGAAATGAAATTTTGACCGCGCAAAAACTTTATGAATGGGCAAAAGAAAATTTTAAAAATATAAACGTTTTTTTTTATTCAACGGCCGATTATGAACTTGCAGCTGAGTTTCTCACGTTAAGGCATAAAAAGTGCAAGACGATCAAAGGAACTCAGTCCATTCACTTTGCATCGCCAATTAATAAGAACACCCTTAAAATTAAATTGTTTTCGGAAAGTTTAACTTCTGATATTGTTTACACAGAGTAAAAAAATATTTGCTAATTTTAACCAAATATTAATAAGATTTTTTGTTAATCTAGATCTACATAACTTTTGTTACGTTTACAACAAACTATAATCTGTTAACTAAGTACACAGTTTTAAAAGTCATATTTATTGATATCAGTTTTTAGTTTTTTAATTTTATATTGTAAAAAGTTTAACATAATTCTTTGTAAACGTAACATAATTCTTGGTAAATGTAACATCACTCCAAAAGTTATTTGGACCTAGATTAATAAAAAAATATGTTATTAATTGGTTAAAATTAACAAATATTTTTACTGTGTAAATAAGTAGTTTATTAGCTATTTATGTATCAAGGGCATTACGTAGGCTTTAATGCCCAAAGGCGAAACTAGCCCGAGGGCCTTTGGCCCGAGGGATAGGATTTCGCGTGATGGGCATACAATGCTTTATTTTCTACTTAAAGATTTATGTTTTTATCAAAAATTTAAATAATAAATAAACTTGTCAAATTTCCTACTGTCACTGTACCAAATGTTGACTTATGTCAAACAAAAATTAATCAAAATTTTATTTAAGAAATTCCGCAAAATATTTTACAAAATGCAGCCAAGGCTACACAAAAGTTATTATTTATTATAGTCAGTGATTGAAAACAACAAATTTTCTGCAGCTTTGGCTGCATATTGTATGATGTTTTGTAGATTTAAATTTGCGGGCATTATGATAACGCCCGGCTATAACGCCCTGTGGTTGTTATAGATACGTTTACTTATTTGATTTGCAAGGTGTTATGGATCAATAATAGATAAGTAGAAAATAAAATAATTACATACATTACATATTCGGTAAAATGTTTTTCTTGTTAAAATTTTCACAAATCTGGACTGATATTAACAAATATTATTTATCTTACAGTGCACTGCTTGGCTTATCGCTTGTAAAATATTTTGTATTTTTTTAATAATAAAATAAATGTAATGCAATGAATTTAGTCTTTTAATAAAATATAATTAAAATAAATACTACATTTAACTCAATGAAACAATCTCTTTCTCCGTTTGGCGAAGCGAAGTCGCTCGGAGCCATTGATCGCGGGAGTAACGATTTCACGCATCGCATCACAAAAAAATTCATAACTTCTACAATTTTTGAGTCCCCCCAAAAAGTAACTAGTCAAAATTTGCGCAAGATTCAGGGCTATCACCATAAATTTTTTGAAAAATTTTTGAGATGGCATTTTTTGGATAATTGAATTTGTTTAAAAAAAAATGATTTTTTTAATGAATTTTTAGGTTAAAATTTTTGAAAATTTTTTTTTCTTAAAGAGCGCCCAAAAATATGTACATCTAAATTTATCTCGAAATTTTCAGTCGTTTCAGTTTTTTAATATTCGAAAAATAAGAAACGTGACATTTTTTTTTATTTATTATATAAAATCCACAAAAATGCATAAAAAAAATTAAAATTTTGGATTTCTCCTTTATTTATGTTCCTCTGTCGGCCCTGAAAATTTAAAGTAAATCGGAAACATGAAGTGTGAATCTTGGCCGATTTGGCGTGGATCGCCCCATATATATAAAAAATTAGGGATATCTTTTTGAGAGTACAACATTCTTTTTGAAATATTTTTATACATAATTTTGATTTGAAAAAAATATGTTTGATATACCTAATATGGCTTTCCCAGAAAAATACAATAACATTAAAATACTTTTCTGGTAAAGAAATTTTGCCAAAGATTGTTATGTATTATTTTACATAAGTTTTACAAAACAAAAAACTTGACTTTTTACACATTAAAAGCCTGGCAATATTGTTATTTATTACAAAGAAATATTTTGTTTTGTAAAACAATCGTTATTGTTATGTTCTTGACTGTATTTGCCAAAAATTACCAAATTTTATACATAGATCTCCTTTTTAAAATTTGTGTTCATGAGATGTTAAGCATTGAATATGTGTTACATGTACGATTTTATAAAATATATTAAAAAATTGACAACAAATGCATTGTTTTATTAATTTTCCTATCTTAATTGAAATTTTATCCGAAATCACATTTAATAATTCTAATCATAGATAACAAAGCCTAAAAATAAATTTATATAAAGGGTGATCCATTAAGAAAAAATAAACTTTTTGTTTTCCCTATATACTGATCAATTTTTTTATACGTAGAAAAATAGTTATTTATGTATCAAGTCAGTAAAGTCGTATTTTTATCACGAATGTGGAAATTATTTGCCGAGCCGAAAGCCGAGGCAAATAACCACGTGAGTGATGATCAAATCAAATGTCATTTGAATGTAGGAAGTGTCTAGGAAGTTTATTGCATCGGTTATGATATATTTGCCCGCTGTGGCGATTTTTTAATAAAATTAACTTATTTTTATTAAACAACATTTCATGAAAGGATCCAATCGACCTCCGCGACGGTGCTTTTTTAAAATATTATTTAGTTGCTGCTGAGTAGCAGTAGACACATCTTACAATGTATAATGGTTTGCATACAATACTCGCATAAAATCGGCAGTAAAGTTCTACTTTACTGCCGATTTCTTTTACTCTACTGCCGATTTCGGATAAAATGTATTTATATTTTTTTGTTTCTATTAATTCGTAAGCCTGATTTATAGATTGTCTTCCTTCCTTCCTCCCGTAAAAGATGAACAATATGAAAACTGTAGTGCTGTTTATAGATTCCCGTACGGGATTGTATTGCTCATCTTCTACGAGAGGAAGGAAGGCAATCTATAAATCAGGCTGTAGTTATATTTTGTCGTTTACTATTTTAAAATGCGGACTCATCAGTCACGTACTAATACTCGACACAGCAAGATGTCTCGCTTAGCGACCTCTTAAAACATAAAAGCTTAAAACCCACAAAATACTATAGATTCTATAGTGAGTATAGACTTCCCCTTGCTCAAGAAAGTGTGAAGTAATAAGTGTCAGCTACAGGGTGGTCTTACCACCTGTCAATTGGACGATTTTCACGAGACAAATAAAAGATGACAAACAAGGGAGGACTGGGCCATCTGCATAACGGATAAGTAACCTTAAACATATGCATGACCTAATAATTAGCAACATTGGTCACGACAGTTACCTTAAAACTTAAATTAGAAAAAAACAAAGTGCATCAGTAACAATAGTATCATTAGTAAGACAATATTATTACCATATGGCTTAAAGCAAACATCAAAAGATAGGTATAACAAAAAAAAAACGCCCCATCCTACGGTAATTTACACGAAAGCTGAGTAGGACAATAAATCTGTCATCAACACACGTGACAAAACAAATTTGTTGGTATTAATACAATTTAAAGAAAATGAGACCAAAACCAACAAATACTTAAAATCCAAACTCAGCGAAGAAGACTAACGTGCTTGGGCAACACAAAATAAAAAATTGTTAGAAATTTCGCACTACTGCGGTAATAAACATAAAAAAACTACTTGGACACGGACACGAACAATAACGACCAAAACGTAGACCAAGACGTATACGTATAGGCCCCTGCAGAAAAATACTCAACTCCCGAACTCCATACAGTAATCCCCAATGTTTGGAGTAATACTGCCTGGTCTAGGGGGATACCGCGTTGTACTTAAATTTGGGTCGGCGTAATCGTCCCTCAAACAACCAAATGTTTATTCCTTCCGTCCTACCTCCTTCATATCCCTTCTGGGCGTAAAGCATCGGCCCGGCGAACCCGGGCTATTAAAACTATTGGCATTTCTCTCTCGAGAGTCTCGAGTCGAGACCTAAAAAGGGGATAGTACGGGTCGCAATGGACATTCGCACCCAGCAAACACGGGTTGCTGGTGGCGAAAGAAAATCGGCGTAAGGAAACAGAGGCCTGTGCGGGGCCCGGAAGCGATGAGGCAATGGGGCCGGTTATACGTCTCTTATAGTCATACTCATACTCAGTCGTTACGAATATATTCACTGAAAAGTTTAACCTTTAAAGGTTCAACAATTGTTGTGTTTTGTCATCTATGCTTTGTTATCTATGGTTTTGTCCTATACTAACTTTAAAACCAATACCTATTCAAACAAAAAGTTTACCACACATAAGACATTTAGAAAAACAAATCTATAAAATCCCAAAAATCAAAGGATGAGAAATCTCAGAAACCCTTGAATTTAATTTATATTCAAGATATAACGAGCTGGCCAAATTCTTTATAATCTGTGCCAAATAGTTTTTAACCAGGTTATCTCTGTTTTAACTAAGCTAAAGGCTAACGGTCCGTTCCTTCTTTGATCTGAAAAAACGTCTTAGTAACGGAGACGTTTTTTCAGATCAAAGAAGAAGAAGAAGAATTAGTTCAATGCTTTGTGTTTTGAGGTTAATCAATACAATAAATTATTTTTAATGATGGGAAAAGTTTGTTGTGTTCCGGGATGCAATGTTACAAATCGTAAAGTGAAAAGAAGTATTTTCCAAGTGCCCAAAAATGTAGAATATAGACAAAAATGGTCAGAAATTTTAAACTGCCAATTAACGGAAAAGTCAAATGTGTGTGAACGACATTTTAGTGCATCTGACATGAAAAGTGCGTATTTTGGAGCGGTTAATGGAAGGGTCCTATTGAATGTAAGTAAAATCACAATCCACACAACAAGGTCTGTTCTATATCATGCTAAAAGTACTAAAAATCACTGCAACACTGCACAGAGTTTAACGGCGGCAGGGGTGTGATTTTTATTACAATTGTACTTTTCTAGTACAAAAAATAGCTTCTAGTACATCAGCACCTCTTTGACAATTCTAGTACAATTTGACGTCACTAATGGTAACATAACCTAAGATTCTTTCAAGAATCTAATTTGTTCTGTGAATCTAATTTTCGCGGTTTTGAGGTTTTTTAAACGTTGGCAGGCGGTTTGGCCGATTTGTGAAATCTGCTCTGTTACAAGTGTACAGGGTGGTCCACGTAAGGTGACCCATATACTTATCTCAGAAACTACTGGAGTCACAAAAAATTTGTAAGGAACAAATATTCACGAAGTAAAAAATATTTTTAAAATATTATATTTTCATTTATACAGGGTGTTCGGTTTTCCTTGGGACGATACCAACTTTCTTATTTTCAATGGAACACCCTGTATTTTTTTGCATTTTTGGATTCTACCCACTCTTTTAGGTATACTTTGTAAATATATTAATTAAGAAAATGTTAATACTTTTTGAGTAAAATTAAGATTTATTAAAATTTCTCTAAATGTAGACACTCGCTAAAAGTTAAAAATAATCAACTAAAAGTTATTATTTTTTATATTATGTAGTATCCATCTCTTTAATAATAAGTAAGCTATAAGTTAATTATTATATTTTTTGGAAAATATCATACAGGGTGTTTTCTATGTCCCGTTGAAAATAGCGATTTTAAAAGTTTAAAATCTTGTTTTTCTTCAATGGAACACCCTATATATTTTTGCATAATTGGATAGAATAAGTAATTACCTTTCATTTTATATATATATGTCCTATACCTAAACCTAACAGAAAAAAAAATATTCGCATTTTTCACAATTAGTACCTTTTTTCCAATTACCTTAGTTAAATTTTCATTATTCAAATAAATAAATTTCAATAACAACAAATAAAAATGCTTTTATATATAAATATATATTACTATAATAATTACCATACGCGCAAAGCTACTAATTTTGTAAAATGCGAATATTTTTTTTAGGTGATCCACGTAAGGTGACCCATATACTTATCTCAGAAACTACTGGAGTCACAAAAAATTTGTAAGAAACAAATATTCACGAAGTTAAAATTATTTTTAAAATATTGTATTTTCATTTATACAGGGTGTTCGGTTTTCCTTGGGACGATACCAATTTTCTTATTTTCAACGGAACACCCTATATTTTTTTGCATTTTTGGATTCTACACACTCTTTAAGGTATACTTTGTAAATATATTAATTAAGAAAATGTTAATACTTTTTGAGTAAAATGAGGATTTATTAAAATTTCTCTAAATGTAGACATTCGTTTAAAGTTAAAAATAACCAACTAAAAGTTATTATTTTTTATATTATGTAGCATTTATCTCTTTAATAATAAGTAAGCTATAAGTTAATTAATTTATTTTTTGGAAAATATTATACAGGGTGTTTTCTTTGAATAATGAAAATTTAACTAAGGTAATTGGAAAAAAGCTACTAATTGTGAAAAATGCGAATATTTTTTTTTCTGTTAGGTTTAGGTATAGGACATATATATATAAAATGAAAGGTAATTACTTATTCTATCCAATTATGCAAAAATATATAGGGTGTTCCATTGAAGAAAAACAAGATTTTAAACTTTTAAAATCGCTATTTTCAACGGGACATAGAAAACACCCTGTATGATATTTTCCAAAAAATATAATAATTAACTTATAGCTTACTTATTATTAAAGAGATGGATACTACATAATATAAAAAATAATAACTTTTAGTTGGTTATTTTTAACTTTTAGCGAGTGTCTACATTTAGAGTAATTTTAATAAATCTTAATTTTACTCAAAAAGTATTAACATTTTCTTATTTAATATATTTACAAAGTATACCTAAAAGAGTGGGAAGAATCCAAAAATGCAAAAAAATACAGGGTGTTCCATTGAAAATAAGAAAGTTGGTATCGTCCCAAGGAAAACCCAACACCCTGTAAAAATGAAAATATAATATTTTAAAAATATTTTTTACTTCGTAAATATTTGTTCCTTACAAATTTTTTGTGACTCCAGTAGTTTCTGAGATAAGTATATGGGTCACCTTACGTGGACCACCCTGTACGTAAAATGTATTGCCATTGGCAAAAACAACAATAATGATGAGTTTAAACTAACTATTGGAAAATCGTTCATTTTGCCCATTTTAGTTGGGTTTTTTGCTCAATGGGGCGGGGTCGGTTGGGTTGTGTTGTTGAGTTTGGGTTGGTTTGGCTGCAGTAAAAGAGTCTCGATTTTATTATTAGTAAATTTTATTACATTTACATAATCAAATCAAATACATAATCAAATCAAATGACACGACACCTAAAAAGTAAAATTAAATAAAATAATGCTGGCAGAATTATGTCCACTACACATGGGCTTTTTCTATTTTCGCGCCCCCCCCCTTAGTAGATGTCTAAAACCGCCCCTGGGCAAAGTTGGCAGCCTTAGGTTTAACCAAAAACCAAAAGTAAACGAAGTAAACGTGAAAATAAAATTAAAATTATTTTGACGTGAGAATAAAAATTAAATTGCGTTCACGTTAGTGTGAGAATAAGAATAAAATTGCGTTCACGCTAGCGTGAGACTAGACACAGCGTAAAGTTTATTTTTTACAATAGAGGAGTAAAATGGTTTAAGGACTTTACGGACTCTTTTAAGGCTAACTATGAGAAACACAACGTTTAAAACGATTATTAATCTGTATAAACAGAGCACAAAACCCAAAGCACAAAAATTGTAAACAACAAAAATGGCCGCCGTTAAACTGTGCAGTGTTGCAGTGATTTTTTGTATTTTTAGTATGAGATAGAACAGACATTGTTGTGTGGATTGTGAGTAAAATCAAAATATTTTATTCTGATTCTTGTATAAACTGAAGTGTAATAAGCCATGCATTGTCATTAGGTGCCGTTTGTGAGGAAATCGTTAAAACAAAATGCCTTGCCTGTTTGTGAACAGGATAGTAACAAAGAATGTTTTACAAACACTGGGTTGGCGGAAAATTATAATTTTGCTTTAAAGATAAAAGAAGAAGATCCTCTTTCTTTAGACAATATAACACCAATAAATGTTCCGGAAAGTAATAAGGATTTACAAAGTACAAATAGTAAATTATATATGGAGTTTAAAGAAAGATTATTAAAAGAAGACTATGATATCAAATTACCTGTGATGTGGAGTTTTTACAAGAACGCAAGTACTATGAATGTAATATTTTATTATATGGAAGAAGTTCCTCTTGAAAATAATTCAAAATTGTTGGTAATCAAGCCCAATAAAATGGTATGAATTTAAATAATGCATTCTTTATATAAATGATATTGTACTGTGAGTGCCAGGCGATAGTCTATATATATAATAAAAAATTTTAATACACTCAAAATTGCAAGTCAAAAGCACAAAACTAGAAGGTGGGGAGAAGTCAAAACGCTGTCTATAAACCACAAAACTAGAAGGTGGGGAGAACTCGCTTTAAATAGGATGCGCGTGTAAAAATATGAGGCACCATACAACAACCAGCGACGCACGAGGCGCATGCGCATTAATTAAAACTTGTTGGGTTTACTGTTTACGTCTGTCAAAAATTTTCACATTTAGTTTTGTTTTCTTGTATTTTGTGTAATTTTTTCTAGTTTAAGAACTGAATAAACAAAAGTTGTGTACTTTTTTATTTAGTGCAAATTTTTTGTCGAACTTTATAATAATTAATAGTTTGTCGAACGTTATAATAGATAAAGATGAAGTGTTTAATTCCATTTTGTCCCAACAAGGGCAAAGTAAAAGGCATTATGTATAATACTATTATAATAATAGGTAAGAATAATAATTATAATTATTATTATATATAAATATTATAATATTTAATATATATTTAATATATATAATATTTAATATATGGTTAAAATGAACCATATGGCGCTTCTAGTGTTAATTAAAAAGTATTTTCACATTTAGTTTTGTTTTCTTGTATTTTGTGTAATTTTTTCTAGTTTAAGAACTGAATAAACAAAAGTTGTGTACTTTTTTATTTAGTGCAAATTTTTTGTCGAACTTTATAATAATTAATAGTTTGTCGAACGTTATAATAGATAAAGATGAAGTGTTTAATTCCATTTTGTCCCAACAAGGGCAAAGTAAAAGGCATTTTGTATAATACTATTATAGTACAGTCATCTTAGTCAAAAAAAGGGATCAACCTCGGAATCTAACGGAATAAGCTGAATTTTTGTGAAAACCTTTATTTTAGCATTACAAATGTTGTCTCAAAAGTCACATATGCCAACGTGTGAGCGGCCTTAGATATTCAAGGTCAAAGGTCGCAAAAATCAGTTTTTTAAGAATATCTCGTTTTCTCTGCCTCCTATCGTATTTGCATTTATTATAAAAGTCGTAGAAAATAAAATTCTCTACAAATTTTGTTTACAAAATTTTTTTATACGTCGAACCGTTTTTGAGATAGAGGGCGCAGAGTGTGGAGCGCTCAGCCATACGTACCTTTAGCGCAAGGTAAATCGTGAATCCCAATCTATTATACCGTTTTTTTTAATTAATTATATAATAAATATTACTAAAATAAAAATTTAATAATAATATAATATATATAATAATATATTTATATTTCTTTTAAATCAAATATATTTTATCTTCATATAAGTATATCTTATATTTTAATTTAATTTTAATGAAGGATAATTGAATCGGAGTAGGAAAAAATATTTTTATTTATATCAATATTATTATTATTATTAATCTTTATCTTCTTCATCCTCGTCTTCTTCAGGTTGGCCAGCAATTTCAGACTCATTTTCATCATCATTCTCCTCATCATTGACATTAATTGTCATATCTTCAAAAACTTACTTATAACGCGTTTGTACTTTGCAGATTTTTTGCCTTTGTTGCCTCATCTGCGACTACACAACACTCCCTTTTTTACGAGGTACAGTTGATGACGTTGAAGGTCCAGTCTCCTCAAGGCGACGTTTTGCTGCTACAATTTTACTATAGTACGCTATAGCGTACAATTTTCGACACTCAATATGAACGTTCACAGAATTCAAAGTATTTAGGTAGTTTATGTTTATATCTCTCAATAATTGCTCCTTTTAAAGTCTTTATACCGCGCACGAAAGTCACAGAATCACCTTCAAAAAGTAACTTATTACAAATAAAACACAAATCATTACGAATATTACCTGTCACAACCCTAGACCTATACCTAGGGTCACAACTTGCTTTAAAATTTAATATAGGTATACCTAACCTTTTTATTTATAGCATAGCCCCTAATACAATATTTCCAGGTCTGTTATTTTAAAAGCAATATCTGGATCCAAGAGATGACCAGATACATACTTAAGGCAAATTCATTTAATGTCTTTTCTTCTTCAATAATTAGAATAACATTAGAATATATTTAGAATGATTCACTTCATTATTTAATTATTTGTATCTCAAAAGTAAGTAATATTTAATGACTATTTGTTTTAAAAAAATATATAAAAATAAATATAAGGTATTTAATTGTTATTTAAGTAATATTTAATAAATAATTAATTAAAAAAACGGTATAATAGATTGGTATTCATGATTTACCTTGCGCTAAAGGTACGTACGCTGAGCGCTCCACACTCTGCGCGCTCTATCTCAAAAACGATTAGACGTATAAAAAAATGTTTTAAACAAAATTTGTAGAGAATTTTATTCTCTACAACTTGTATAATAAATGCAAATACGATATGAGGCAGAGAAAAGGAGATATTCTCAAAAAATTGATTTTTGCGACCTTTGACCTTGAATATCTAAGGTCGCTCACATGTTGGCATATGTGACTTTTGAGACAACATTTGCAATGCTAAAATATAGGTTTGTACAAAAATTCAGCTTATTCCGTTAGATTCCGAGGTGAAATGCCTATATGACTGGACTATTATAATAATAGGTAAGAATAATAATTATAATTATTATTATATATATAAATATTATGGTTAAAATGAACCATATGGCGCTTCTAGTGTTAATTAAAAAGTATTTTCTTCTATTTTAAATAACTTATTTGACACAATCTTAAAGGGTCATTAAATATAATATTCAAACACAAGTGTTTGTTAACTAACTGCATAGAAAGATAATACTTCATTATTTACGCGATGTAATTTAAAACCGCAAATTTAAATTTGGATGAAAAGCGCAAGCGCACGATTAGTCGGCGCGGATTGTATGTTGCCTCACGTTTATAGCACAAAACTAGAAGGTGGGGAGAAGTCAAAACGCTGTCTATAAACGTGAGGCAACATACAATCCGCGCCGACTAATCGTGCGCTTGCGCTTTTCATCCAAATTTAAATTTGCGGTTTTAAATTACATCGCGTAAATAATGAAGTATTATCTTTCTATGCAGTTAGTTAACAAACACTTGTGTTTGAATATTATATTTAATGACCCTTTAAGATTGTGTCAAATAAGTTATTTAAAATAGAAGAAAATACTTTTTAATTAACACTAGAAGCGCCATATGGTTCATTTTAACCATAATATTTATATATATAATAATAATTATAATTATTATTCTTACCTATTATTATAATAGTATTATACAAAATGCCTTTTACTTTGCCCTTGTTGGGACAAAATGGAATTAAACACTTCATCTTTATCTATTATAACGTTCGACAAACTATTAATTATTATAAAGTTCGACAAAAAATTTGCACTAAATAAAAAAGTACACAACTTTTGTTTATTCAGTTCTTAAACTAGAAAAAATTACACAAAATACAAGAAAACAAAACTAAATGTGAAAATACTTTTTAATTAACACTAGAAGCGCCATATGGTTCATTTTAACCATATATTAAATATTATATATATTAAATATATATTAAATATTATAATATTTATATATAATAATAATTATAATTATTATTCTTACCTATTATTATAATAGTATTATACATAATGCCTTTTACTTTGCCCTTGTTGGGACAAAATGGAATTAAACACTTCATCTTTATCTATTATAACGTTCGACAAACTATTAATTATTATAAAGTTCGACAAAAAATTTGCACTAAATAAAAAAGTACACAACTTTTGTTTATTCAGTTCTTAAACTAGAAAAAATTACACAAAATACAAGAAAACAAAACTAAATGTGAAAATTTTTGACAGACGTAAACAGTAAACCCAACAAGTTTTAACACGTTGATGGACACAGGCAAATTTTTGGCGGGACCTGCTGCGTCACTTGAATAATTCATACACCTTTTATCCTATCATCAAAAAATTTTACCGGTAACTTGATGATGCTTTTAGGGCTGTATATGGCCTTTAAAAAAGTTTGACGGCTATAGCCGTCATGCCCCACTATGAGTTTTTTTTCAAAAAAGAAAGGTGTGGTGGGTCATGACGGTAATAACCGTCCATGTTTTTTTCATTTCTATTTATCCATTATAGTAGCTACTATACTAGTATAAAGTCACTGGTAAACAAATTATACTTTAATAATGACAAAAAGTCTAGATTCAAATTTAAATATTTATTTTTAATCTCAACAGTCTATATATATCTATAAATACTTATAATTTATAAGTTATAAAATACCTATAAATAATATAAAATTTATTTTATAAAAAGAAATTGCGTTTTTAGGACGAGAAAAAACATTTTAATGATAAAAATATAGTTATAGAAGTTATATAGTGATAAAAAATAATATAATTGTTCAAAAACTTATACTAACTAGCTTTGTTACATCAAAATTTTACTCCACCTCACAACAATCAAATTTTTACTCCACCTAACAACAATCGTTCACAAAAACGGCCGAATTTTAGGTTAAGAATCGCGCTTAACAGATAAAAATTAATTTGCAACCAACTACATTCTGCAACCAAAAATACATGAGGTCTCATAGGACACATATGTCAAAGCTTCCTATGGATCTCATTATTAATGCGCCTGCATATGCAGGCTTGTCATAAATCAGCTAGAAAATTGCGACTGCTATAGCCGTCGTGTCATATTGGGCCCGACGGCATTTGCAGTTCTGTCCATGAACGTGTTAATTAATGCGCATGCGCCTCGTGCGTCGCTGGTTGTTGTATGGTGCCTCATATTTTTACACGCGCATCCTATTTAAAGCGAGTTCTCCCCACCTTCTAGTTTTGTGGTCAAAAGATTACTACTTTGATTGTGACAGCTGTCACAATCAAAGTAGTAGCCTAGGCTATTGTAACTAAAAATTAATATTTTCAATGTTTAGCATAATATGCTATATTATAATATAATATATACTCTAGGGTGTGTCATTTTTAAGCAACTTTTTTTTTTCAACTAAAAAACAGGCTAAAATTTTCAGGAAGGTGATAAAAGAAACCTCTAAAAATTTGAGCTCTTAATATTAACATTATGTGGTGCCTTCAAACTTTGAATACCTTCAGAACGGCTTACTTTATGAAAAAATAAATTAGTACGTTCAATTTCCTACCAAAATAATTTTTTAGTTTTACAATGCTTGAATGTCAAGATACAAAAATAAGAAAAAAGAATTTTTTTCCATGTTATTTAAATGGAAAGTTAGGAACAGGCACCACTTAATGTTATTATTAAGAGCTCAATATTTTAGAGGCTTCTTTTTTCACCTTCCTGAAAGTTTTTAGCCTGTTTTTTAGTTGAAAAAAAAAGTTGCTCAAAAATGACTCGCCCTAATATACTCCCTCTGCCAGACAGATTCTGTCACAAATTATGGTATACATTCTCGTTTTTATTTTGTCCCAAATTAGTATACAATAAAAAAAATTAATTTTTCGTTGATAAATTTTATTGAAACTTAAATGGAACTGATTTAAACAAATTTTAATTCATAAATGATAAATTTAAACTAGGTACAGCCTTTTTACCATACTCTATGTCCTTCACAGTGAAGCTTTACTGTAAAATTAAATTGCCACAGTCACAAGTCAATTGCTTACTTTTTGGCAGGGTTCGAAAATATGATATTTATATAAATATCCAATATATATCCATAATAAATATCCAATATATATCGAATGATATATATTTGCAAACCCTAAATGATATTAACTTTCGATTTTTAAATGGAACGCCCTATATATTTTTACATATTTAGAATCCTGAGAAAATTCTGAGTCGGACAGCATCCTTAAAATGACCTTTCGACGTTTCATCATCAGAAAATGCATTATCATAAAGATCAATCTAGAGTGCTTTGAACTATTTGAGAAAAACGAATTTTGACAAGTTTAGACTGCGTGGAATACGCACTCTAGATTGATTTTATGATGAAACAATTTCTGATGACGAAACGTCAAAAGGTCAATTTGAGGATGCTGTCTAACCAGAGCTGTTCCGAGTACAATGAAAAAGTACTCGAGTACTGAATACAAGTACTCTTATATAAAAGTACTCGAGTACCAAGTACAAGTACAGTACCGTTGTACTCGAGTACCCATACGAGTACAAAGTACCGAGTACACTTTAGTTATGAAATGTTGGGAAAATTGCTAGAGAAATGGGGCGAATAAGAAATGAATTTAGAATCACTAGTGCAAAACTAAACACTAGCCGGCCTATTGCCTTCATCAAATATTGATATTTCGCTTTATGTTAATTATCAAGGCCGGCTAGTATCATGTTTCACTTTGCCTTAGCTTTATTTTTTAATTATCTTTTTGAGGAATATTGTCACCTTATTTCTACCAAAATATAAACAAAATTACATTTCATACATAAGTAAAAACCTTTTGTTCAATGCTCTTTTTTGTGTCTTTTTATTTATTGATTGAAGCTGTTTTAAGGCTGTCGTGTGAGTCAAGCTGGCTGATGCTGCCTCAGGCAGCATGTCCGTAATTTTACAAGTCTGAGCAGTATTGCCAAATTTTCAACACCCATGCACATATGTGTCCACGCCAACCTCACTGCATAAAAATGTACTCATTGCATACTTTGGATGTACTCGAGGACACGTAAAAGTACTCGAGTACACGGGAAAGTACTTGAGTACACGGGAAAGTACTCGAGTACATTTTTGCAATCTTAAATGTATCAAGTACAAGTATAAGTACATTCAAATTAAAGTACTCGGGACTGAGTACCGAGTACACTGAAAGTACTTGGAGTACAGTGTTTGAGTACTTGTACTCGAGTACCGCACAGCTCTGTGTCTAACTAAGAATTTCCTCAGGGTTCTAAATATGTAAAAATATATAGGGCATTCCATTTAAAAATCAAAAGTTGGTATCATTTCCGGCGAAACCGGAAGTTCAGAAAATTAATTTTGTACTCTTATAAGTGGCATTTTATATCCTAATTACCCATGCAAAATTTAATGTGTCTATCTTTATAAATAAAAAAATTACAGGGGTGCGCCTATTCTCAGATACGCCCGGTATATCAATCCTGCTTTTTGGTTTCTTCTTATATACTAATCACTATTTTCTCTAATTTTACATTCAATATTTTTGTGAGAACAAGTGTTTTTAATTTTCTGATCTTTTTTAAATCGCAGGAACCAAATATCAAGATTTGTTTAAAGAACAGTCACCTATATAAGCATTAAGATATCATTATGTTTATCATCATAAAATGTTTGAAACCCAATAACCCCTTTAAATTTCAGTAATCAAAGGATTTTTAAGACATGTAAACCATAATTTGGGACTATAATATATTACTAATATTACATATATATATAGACTATCAAATGCATTTTATATATATTATGCATTATGAGTTACAATATTATGAAACTTACATGGCAGTACTTCCCTGCTGAAAAAAAAAATTATAAAAAATGATCAAGATTTTCGTTAATATTTCCTAATTTTTTATAATTTCATATTTCATCTTTTCTGATCTGGTTTTTATGATAAAAAATATAAAAAATGATTGAGATTGTCGATAATATTTCATCACATTGAAAACAAATTCAATAAGGTTCTAAACCTTATGAAAAATGATGAAATATAATGGAAAAAATTCTTCAACTTTGAAAAATTATGAATTATTATTTAAATCCAATCCTATTTTTTCAGCAAGGTTATATCCTGACTTTTAATTTGTCTAATATTTAAATATAGATACATATATTTTTGTGTTTAAAGATATCTTTTGGAAAAGAAGAAATAAGCTTAATAATTAGAGATAGTGTGATCAAAGAAACTGATAAATTTCTATCTACCTCAAAACCAACAAATTTACAAGAACTGGAGCACATTCTCAAAAAAGTGGATGCATACAACATTTGTCAAGGAGGCCCACCATCTACTTCTTTTAATAATGTGCGTTCTGAATGTGGCTTCAAAAGTGGACCAACTTGGAGACATAAAGATTGTTATTTAATTCTTGACAATGCCACAACATGTCCAAAGTGTATTTCGCTTTATCAAAGATTGTCAGATGCTGCTAATAGAGCAAACAGAAAGTCTTATTGCTCAAGAATAAAAGTAAAATCAGGATTATTAACATCCACAACTGACATGACATGAACAAAAAAAAGATCACAATCTTTAAGAAAGAAAAATATGCTTGTAGAATAATATTATTTCGTCGAGATGTGAGACTTTTAAAACTGGAAAATGAATTTATAACTACTCAAGAGAAAATGAAAAGTTTGCAATCAAAGGATTTAAGTCTAATTATCAAAGAAAACCAAGCTTATATTTCTTAAAATCAAGTAAGAATATAACATTTGTTTTTTATGAATATTTTTTTGAAAATTATTTTTAAATTTAATGTAATTTTACTAGAAAATAAATATTTATTAATTATACTTTAATAACTAAATATATTTTTAACAATATTCTTATTGTTTTTTTATACACACATCTTGTCACATATAAAAAAGTAGTAACCCACAGCCCTACAAACAAGTAGGTCTGTGTAGTAACCTATCCAGCTCTTAGGCAAAGCCTATCACATATATTTTCTTAATTTTTTATTTTTAACTAGAAATAGTATTTATATAACTAGACATCATTGATGTAACATTAAAAATAATAGTTTTAAATAAAATATTCTTAAGGCTATGCTCTTAATAAGGTGTTTGTATATTAGGTTTTTTGTTATTGTATGAATGGGGTAGTTAAATTTTTTCTCACCTATACTTTTTATGGTTTTATTCAAGGCGTTTTGTAATATTAAACATTTCTGTGAAATCAGAATTTCAATTGAGTTTACCGTTTTCGAGATATTTACAAAAAATATAAATTTTTATGACGTCACAAACCTCGCAATGTGACCAACATTATAAGATTTCTATTGGTTGAAAATTACCCTGTTGTCAAGTTGTCTTGTTAATGATTTCATTCGGTTATGTCAGAAAATACCCGAAGAGGTTATGTACAAATACTGTCACTGTCAGTTGAGTGAAAGATGGTCACCAAATTCATTAAGTACCTATCTTCCTTATTACGAGGTATCATATTACTGTTTGATATTTTAGAGTCCAAGATATATATAAAAGAATATAAAGAACTAGGCATTATACTAATAAAATGCATTTACGACAAAATATGATTATAATTATAGGTACTTACTTTATTTGTTTAAAAGCTCCAATGTTCAATGTAACCAACCATTCCACAAGATTCCTCTGCTTTGGAGTCCGTTATTAATAAATCACTTATCTAATATCAATTACAAATAACATAACAATAACATTGATTTTCAATAATCTAAATTTAAAAAAAAACATAACCCGAAAAAAAGAAACGTCAAAAAATCAATTCTTCTTCTTCTTCTCAACTAAAATTATAGATCAAGTGGTTTTAAAACTAAAATATTATAACGTGGCGCCATCTATCGTAAGAATCTTAAACTAAACACACTGGCAACCATAGAAAAAGCTGGCAACGTTGTCAATAGCCTAGTGACGTAATTAGGAGTTTTTTTTTTGTAAATATATCGAAAACGGTAAACTCAATTGAAATTCCGATTTCACAGAAATGTTTAAAATTACAAAACGCCTTGAATAAAACCATAAAAAGTATAGGTCAGAAAAAATTTAACTACCCCATTGTGATGGATAACTTTTTTGGAAGCTTTATTGGATCTATAGTTATTTCTGCATGCTTCTTTACACTTTTTAATTATCAAATTATTTAATGCCATATTATTTTTAAAAGTTTCTGTTTTGAATGAAATTTTGAATGCAAGTAAGGTAAAAAGTAAAACTGGTCGCAGATATTCACATGAATGGATAGGTACTAAATTGCATGCTTTTGTATATAAGGGGGCCAAAAAGTTACAGGTTTTTATCGGAGCAAAACATTTTGCCATTACCATGTAAAACTACAATAATAAAATACTTTAAGCGTTTGAATGTTGGGGTTGGATTTGACCAAAATTTCTTTAAGTTGTTCTCGCAACAACTATCCATTGTCAGAAATAAAATTTAAAATGCACACCATGGAACGCTTGCCTTTGATAAAATCGCAGTCGAGCAGCAATCGACGTTAATGTTAAAGAAATGACATTTGAAGGACTTGGCTATGGAAAAAGCAGATCATGCTTTGGTGTTTATGTTTTCTTCTTTAAAGGCCTGTTTTAATCAACCTATTCGAATGTTTCTGTGCAAGGATGATACACAGTCGTCGAGAATTTAAGGTATTTTTATATTATTTATTTAATTTATTTATAGTATTTAATAATTTATTTTTATATTAGGTAAATGGAAAAACTATAAAATGGAGTTATTATGAAAAACTTTATGAAGTGGATCAAAAGCTAGGGTTGGCTGGGGGGAAAAGGCTGTGCCCTAAATTAACTTATGATCATGTGCATCCTGGTAGCATGAACAAAATTAGAGTATTTTTAGCCGCCCAAGTAAGTAAACTTGTCACACGAAAATAGTGAATTCATGTTGGTCTTAGATGAAGTTTTCCAAATTTATGAACCAAATAAATACATATAAGTTATATGTATAATAATTATGATATAACTTTGATATATGTGCGTCAGTGTTGTAACGTATCTAGTTACAAGTAACTAGATACAGTATCTAGATACTTTTGATGTATCTGTTTGTGTAACTAGTTACTTATCCCAATCTAGTAACTATAACTGTAACTAGTTACAATTTCTAAGTAACTAGGTGTGTTAAGATACAAAGATACATTTTTAATTAAACTGCGACTATTATTTAATTTAAAAAATAATTTGTATGTATCTTAAAGTATCTAGATACTTTTTGAAGGTAACTGTATCTGTAACTATTTACTGCAATAAAATATGTATCTGTATCTGTATCTAGTTACAAATTTTGGTAAGTAACTGTAACTGTAGCTAGATACTGAAAATATTGTAACTGTTACAACACTGATGTGCGTATATGCAGCTAATTTTTTGTGTACTACTAGAGGAAACCTTACTGAACCATTTGGTATGTATTAAAACGTACAAATCATCTTAGAAAAAGTTATAAACCTACCAAAAAAATTTTCATGACGCAAGGTAAAATATTCGCCGCGATAACTATACAAATGCCGCTGCATATAGGGGTGTAATTTTACGCATAAACAATTCTTCCAGATATGAAGTAAATAATACATTTTTTAAATGTTGCAAACTTGGAAACGTTGCTTTGGGTATACGGGGACTAAAGTGTACCGCAATTAAGCTTGTAGCTTTTAGCTAGTGACCATGGTCACTAGCTAACTGTGATACATGTACGTTGATCTAAGAAATCCATGTCGTTTCCGCTACGAGTTAAGTTTAAATTTCTGTCCAATCGCTTAAATGTTTATAACACAACTTTATATGATCTTTCCTCATAATCTGGTGTATGTTTAAATTGTTCAGGTTAACTTTTGGAAAGTTTTTTAGTATCACAATATTTTTCTTGCAATGGGGGTAATTTTACGCTGAAAAATTGGGGTAATTTTGCGCTGCAAAATTTGGCCAATATGGGAGCTTTGGTATACAGGAGCATAGATTGTTCAGCATAAACAGTTCCATTTGGGCACACGTGGAGTGTAGCGAAAAAAAAACCCTAAAACTACATATGTGACAAATGCTGCATGTAGACCCTCTTATTTCTAAGAACAAAAATTTTATTTTTTTTCAAGCGGCCATGATATACAACCTTATATGCATGTATAGAGATAGTTGAAGTGCGTCTTTTTCATTAGCGGCAGACAAAAAACTCAAAAAAGCCTAGGGATAGAAATAAATCCATAGGTGACTCAATAAACGTCAAATAATAAAATTAATTTAGCATTTCATACAAAGCAATCACGATGTATTAATTATATTAATTATAATCGCACGGAATATTTAGTGATTATTTATTAAATTTTAATTGAACGAAATAAAGAAAAACTAGTTTATTAGTAAAATATTATGATGATAGACGAGTCGCCAATGTCAAAACTTCAAACAAATGTCAGTACGTCAAAATTAATTCAAGCGCAGCATTTTGACAGAGCAGTGTTTAGTTTTAATTTCGGATATTTATCGGCATTGTAAGTAAGGTTTATTAGTTTTTTTAGTTTTTATCAATAATTTCTAATGCTTTTAGCCAAAATTTTATCCCACACGAGTTATGAGTAAAAAAATAATTCTATTGCTTATCCTATTTATATTATGCCCTTGAAAAAAAAATTGTATATGTTATTTGGAGTAGAAGCTCTTTTTGTGCTTCGTACAGTTGCCTGCCTCAGCTACGCTTCGGCCGTCAATCTATGTACTCACCACCAGGGCTCCCAGCAGGTAGTTTTTTTAAAGACTTGTCTATATTTTTGTCTTAAGTCTATAAAAGTCTATTTTTTTATCTAAAGTCTATAAAGTCTATATTTTCTGTTAAAATGAACTATTAAAAAATATTTTTTTAAATATAAATATTCACAGTTTTATAAATATCGAAACCACAGTAAACCAAGTGAAACATTCGAAAACTTCGCAGTTTACATTTAAAGTTCCCGCCGTCCAGACCCGAACCGCCCGCCAAAATTATTGCTGAATTGTTTCTGGTTTGGTCTAGGGTTTCGTTTACGTTTATAGTTTCGGTTCGCTAGGTTAACACTACCTATAAAGGGTGTCCGGGAGAATGTGGGAAATATCTCGGATTCAGATAGAACATGAAAAAATAAGACACATTCCTATAAAAAAATTTCCTCCTTACGGAGACATGGGCCCCGAAAGGACGCCCCTGCAAATTGGTTTTCCTTGAATAACTTTTAAAGTACTGAATATAATTTAATAAAAATTTAATATGATGGACCCTGGTAGGGACCTCTTAAAGTAGTGTTCTTGAAACATGTTTTGCTTTTTTTGTGCCAGGGGCGGACTAAACTAATGCTTAAATTTTGAACACCCCGTATGTAAAGACTTAAAAAAACTAAATTTGCGTAGCGTGAACCTTAAACTAAAATAAAGGTACTCTTGTTTATTGTCAATAAAATGAACCGTTTTCGAGAAAAAGAATAATAAACGAATTATTGTTTTATATTAAATAAAAAACCCGTTTTCGGGAAAAGGAATAATAAAGGAATTATTGTTTTATTTTTAATAAAAAAGACCATAAAGAACGTATTGTTGCAAGCAAATAAAAATGTTAAAATATGTATGGCTCAACTAATGTTTGAAGGGGTGAACCATCCCAAAAAAGAAGAGGGGAAGGTAACTTACAAGATTAGTCGTCTTGCCCAAGATTTAGAAAAACGAAAGGCGAAAATTATAGATCAGCTGCAGCTCACCAAAAAAAATATAACCCATTAAATGACTGATGCCAGTGCCTTTTATATAA